GAGCAGTATTAAAGGGTCACAGAATTAGGAAGACTGAGAAGCACTGCTTTATAGGCATTATCCTTTCTTTTTAAAAAATATTTATTTATTATGTACACAGTATTCTGTCTGCATGTATCCCTTCAGGCAAAAAGAGGGCACCAGATCTCACTTCATATGGTTGTGAGCCACCATGTGGTTGCTGGGAATTGAACTCAGGACCTCTGGAAGAACAGCCAGTGCTCTTAACCTCTGAGCCATCTCTCTATCCTTTAAAGTTCTCAGTTTTATAGCCTGGAAACTTCCTTCCTGGGTAGAATCTTGCTCTCGAGGCAATATAAGTATGCCATATAGAGTTTAATGTTTTCCTTAATTGCACAAAGTTCATTACACTCGTAGCCAATTTGTCCAAACCTGTCTTCAACTTTAAGACAGCCAAGTTCCTTTTCTTTTCATACTGCACACACACACATATATATATTTTTTTTGGGGGGGGGGTTACGAGACAGGGTTTCTCTGTATTGTTTTGGAGACTGTTGGTCCAGCCCGGCCTCGAACTCACAGAGATCCGCCTGCCTCTGCCTCCTGAGTGCTGGGATTAAAGGTGTGCGCCACCACCGCCCGGCTTCATACTGCATATTTATGCCCATAACTTTTTTTGAAGCAGGTTCTCATGTAGCCCGGCCTCAAACTAGCTATGCAGCTGAGGCTGACTTTGAACTCCTGATCCTCTTGGTTCTACCTCCCAGAAGTGCTAGGATTATAAGCATGAGCCACTGTACCCAGTTACAACTTTAACCTGGTTGATGTTCTTTTCTTCACCAACTGTACATATTTCCACATCTTGTATGTTTGTACTTTCTCAATGGATTAATGCAATAATAACCACAGTAATTAACTATACTACAGCCTAGAGGTTATATGACTTCAGATTTTCTCCAAGCAACTTAGTTCATTACTTTTTAATTCACCTTCACTCAAATGATCAGGTGGGCAGAAATGAGCCAGATTATTTTGCCAGAATGTAAAACAAACGGCCTCTAGTACTTGTACCTAGCTGAGATCTCCTTAACCAGGACTTTATTGTTCAGGTCTTTGTCTGTTTTCTGTTATTCCACAATCCTACCAGCATATACTGTTAAGCTCTACTTTAGCACTCTAGGTCTTCTCTTAGCCCATAGAGCAAAACCCTTCCAAATTCTTCCTCTGCAAACCACCTTCAGATGCATACAGATTTGTGTGATCAGGTATTCTTACCAGTGACCCTACTTTTGGGATACCAACTTTATTACTTTTCTCTCATTGCTGTAACAGAATGCCTGACCTTATTTTGGGGATACAGTCCATCACACAGTGGGTATGGCATGGCAGTAGGAATGTGAAACAGCTGGTCATGTTGCTGTCAGGGAAGAGTTGAAGAATACTGATGCTCAACTTGCTTTTTCTTTTTGCCCTTTTTATTCAGCCTGAGACCCCAACCTATTTGATGGTATTACCCACTTTCAGGTGGTGAGGTAAACCTATCTGGAAACTCTGTGAATGGAGGGCATTGTCCAGATCTTTTACAAAGGCTTAGAGATAGGGAGAGACTCTGCTCCAGGCTTGGCCTTGAACTTGTAAAGTTCAGGCTTGAGACTTGATCTTTTCAGGTCAGGGCATCAATAGTGACTAAATGTACTGGTTAACTATTCTCCAACACTCTAGTTCTTCCTAAACATTTTCTTCCCAAAAGGAGAGAGGGAAAAGCAAGAACCCTAGCTTTTTACACTGGGTGCCAAGGCCAGTGGATGCCTAGAGATCCATCCCCTAGATGCCATTCAGTTACCTTAGGACCCATACCCACTTATGTAAAAGGTCTGGGTTTTAGGCTTCCTCGATTTTTATGGACAAGCCAGAATTTCCCCAGGACTTGCTGCCAGGTATGTGGCACACATCATGTCTTGCTGCTATACTACTAGGCTTTGCTAGTAGTCAAACTGCAGCTCCTTTCTGCCTTTGTAAAATGTGGACAATGCTTCCTGCCACTTGGGTTGTGGTGAGGACAATCGAATGAGGTCACCTTTGTATCTGACACCTGGCATGGGGCAAAGCACTCAGCTAATGTAAGTTCATCCTTCCTGGCTCTTCCCTGCTTAGCTGCCTAGTCTTGCTTGCATCTTTGCTCTGCTGTGCATGTTGCCAGGCTCTGAGTACTGGTACTTAGTGGCAAAAGTGAATTTCTCATCCAGTCATCAAGCATTTCTGGAGGTCTTGGGGTCTTTATACTTTGCTCAAGTGCCAACCTTAATGTCAGGGAAAGGGCTCTTTCTGTTTTGCAAAAGCTAGGGAGTGTTCATCTGTTTTGCAGTCCCTCTCATACTGTGTGTCGTCATTGCCTATTTCTCTACACCTCCCGTAGTTTATCATGATAGAGACAAGTCTGATTCAATTTTCTGTCCTCGTTGTCCAGCATGGGGTGACTCATATTTTGGGGGGTGATTAACTAGGAGCCCCCTTTCTCTTCTCATTCTTCTATCTTCCTCTCATACTTGGGAGGTTCCTGTTCTCCCTTTTATCAGCTGTGGGGTATAGTTAAAAGTTTGTCTTCTGGGGGCTGGAGAAATGGCTCAGCAGTTAAGAGCACTTGTTGCTCTTTAAGAGGACTCGGGGTTCAATTCCCAGCACCCACATGGCAGCTCATACCTGTCTGTAACCCAGAGATCTGACACCCTCACACAGACATACATGGAGGCAAAATAACAATGCAAATGAAATAATAATAATTTTTAAAAAGTTTGTCTTCTGAACACCCCTTGATGGACTAGGTCTCGTGGTTCTGGGAGATGGCTGACAATGCAAGCAAGGATGAACTTGGAGTAACTAGTTAGTGTCCTGGTGCACAGTCTTCAGGGTGGGAGGAGCACCTGATTGCTGCAAGTTTGTGCTCAAACAGGTGTGTTTGTGCTGCCCAGGGAACCACATTAAAGGCGTGCAGGTACCTTTGTCATCTCTGCAAATGAAGCCACACCTTCCTGATGGGGTGGGCCCTAAGGGTGGAGCTTGCCTATACCTTCCCTTGTCCTTCAGTCTATCTAGCCACTTACCTAGGGCTTTCTGAGGGTATCTCCATTGTGTATCATCTCTTTATACTGGTTTCTTTTCCTTTTATGTTTAGTGACCACCTCACCATTATGTTATTACAGAGCCTCTTTAGGTCCTGATGAAAGTTCGGACTTCTTGACAGATGTGTCAAGTAGACCAAATGCTTCCCATTTTTATAACTAGCAGGACAAGTTTAGGCAGCTTCCTACAACCAGGAAACAATGCAGTAATGGAGCTGGCTGGGTTGAAAACCAGGGCTTTTCTACAGATCTAATTCCAGGACAGCCAGGGCTATACAGAGAAACCCCGTCTCTAACAACCAAAACTAAAGTAAACCAGGGCTTTAGACCTCCAGACACTGCCTATTCTGCCAGAAATCTCTTCTGGTTTTTTAGGGGGTGGAGTACATCCATTGTTTGTAGTGGAGTACAAAAATGGTCCTTTTGTAGTCATCTTTAGCAAGGATCCTGTAAGTTCTTAGGTAGGGTAAGGTCCCCTAGGAGCAGGCTTCATATTCTGTAGTACAGTGCTCTTGCTGGGTCAAGCTGTCTGCTTTTGGCAACCAGCAGAGGGCGTGAGGAGCCTGAGAAAGATCTGCTTCTGCTTCATTTTTTAAATGGAAATGTCTTAAGCTCTCAAGGTCATTGTTATTTTAATTTGGAAGTATGAGTTTGTATAGGTTCATTTAACCAAACCTTTGGGATCAAATGTGATTTGGAATTTAGAAAATAGAATTTGGAAAAGTCTCCTGGTTGTTTATACTTTGTATTATATAATACTTTAGCAGAGGCTGGAGAAGTGCCTCGTGATCAAGTGCCTGAATGTTTCTGCGTGGAAATGTTTGAATCTTCACCCTCAAGTAGAGTATCTGGGTATATGTCAGTTCTGTTCAGGTTATGATGGGACATGAATTAGATTAAGACTCTGGATTTTCTGTGTTTTTTCAAGTCTTTCTTTTGTTTTGTTTTTTTGTTTGTTTGTTTTGTTTTTCAAGACAGGGTTTCTCTGCATTGTTTTGGAGCCTGTCCTGGAACTGACTCTGTAGACCAGGCTGTCCTCGAACTCATAAAGATGTGCCTGTCTCTACCTCCCAAGTGTTGGGATTAAAGGTGTGAGACACCAACATCTGGTTCAAATTTCTTAATATTTAAAATGTTTATGGATTTGGTAATTTGGATGAAGAATTGTGTATCTTTATTGGGAAAGAAAGTTAAGAAAAATCACCTATAGCATTTATTGTCTCCTTTTTTCAGTTTTGTACTATATATTTGTATACATATGTAGAGGCTTATGTAAATATATATGTAAGTGTGCTTGGACATACTTAAGATCATACTTGGCTCACTTTCTGCCTCACACAATATGTCTTAGAATTTCTCAGATGTTTATAGGCTCAAGATATACATTCTAGCCGGTTATTCTCTTCAGCATCTTTCCTGGGTGAAACTTCTGATAGAGAACCACATTCTCTATCTGGGCACTTATGGGGTCTAGGCCTCTGGCTGCCTGGGCCAGGTCTTGCAATATCTAGAGCAGGGATCTGAAAGCAGATGGTTTGTTTCCAGGGGATCTGGGACGTGTCTGGGATTAAGTCTTTTTTGTTTTGTTTTTTGTTTTTCGAAACAGAGTTTCTCTGTGTAACAACCCTGGCTGTCCTAGAACTTGCTATGTAGACCAGGCTAGGCTTGAATTCACAGAGATCCACCTGTCTCTGTCTCCTGAGTGCTGGGATCAAAGACGTGTGCTACCACTGCCTGGCTAAATCTTGTTCCTGTCCAGTGACTACATCTCTTGCTTTGTGGTCACAGAGTAGTCAAGAAGGGCTGTGAATTTCCCAGTATCCCTTTTGCCAATCATCTGGTTCTCTCAGGATTTGAGGGCAGGACCCTGGAGAGGGTGTTCAGGTTTCCCTGTTGCTGACCTCCTACTCTTTCCTCCAGCAGGAACACTGGTTTGAAAAGGCCTTACGGGACAAGAAAGGCTTCATCATCAAGCAGATGAAGGAGGATGGTGCTTGTCTATTCCGGGCTGTAGGTGAGTCTCTACCTTGGTCCTGCAGGCTAGGAGGCTTAAGGATACCTCTGAGCTGTGTCCCAGTTGTCAGTAACAGCACCTGAAAAAGGATTGAGGCACAGCTAACTAGTTGGTATTTTGGGATATCCAGGCACAAACCTAATTGTTAGTGTTTGGCCTCTGGTTTTGAATTGTGTTGAGTAAATAATACTAACAGCAATAGTAATGACTTAGAGACTAAGACTACTAACACTACAGGAAACCCATATGTGTGTGTGTGTGTGTGTGTGTGTGTGTGTGTGTGTGTGTGTGTGTATTCATTCACATTTTTGTTTTTCGAGACAGGGTTTCTCTGTGTAGTCCTGGCTATCCTATAGATCAGGCTGACCTTGAACTCAGAGATCTGCATGTCTCTGCCTCCTACATGCCGAAATTAAAGGTGTGTGCCACCACCATCTGGCATAGGAACCCTATTATTATTCCACAATTTAGGTGAAAGTGGGGACTGATGTTGCTTCTACTTACCAGATGAGAAAAGTATTTCAGAAGTGGGGAGTCAGGATTTTATATCTGGGTTAGCCATATCACATTGTTGTCATGTTGGTATGTAAGAGTTTGTACCCAGTGGGCTGGAGAGATGGCTCAGAGGTTAAGAGCACTGACTGCTCTTCTCGGGGTCCTGAGTTCAATTCCCAGCAACCACATGGTGGCTCACAACCATCTACAATTCAGTCTGGTGCCCTCTTATGGCATGTAGGCAGAACACTATATATGTGATAAATAAATAAATCTTTAAAAAAAAAAAGAGTTTGTACCCAGAGTTTTCTCTGATGTGGTGTGTTGGGGGAGGGCTCTGTTCTGTGTGAAATCGGGCATGGTTAAGCACACCTTTAATCCCAGCATGCAGGAGACAGAAACAGGTGGATCTCTATGAGTTCAAGACCAGCCTGGTCTACATAGCAGGTTCTATGCCAGTCAAGGATATATTTGTCTTGTCACAAAAAAAATCTAGATCTTTATAAGTTATAGAAACTTAGTGTTTTTTCTTTCAGCTTGTACAAAAGTAGAGAAAATAGTGAACCCTTTCAGACTTAATCATCTAGCTTTAAAAAGTCATGAACATAGCTACATGGTGGTCACTCAAACCTTTAATCTGGGAGGCAGATGCATGTGGGTATCACACACATCATTAACAAATAGGTAGAAATTTTTTCCTCTTTTTAGACAAAGTCTCATTCTCTAGCCCAAGCTAGCCTGAAACTTGGGATCCTGCTCCAATCTCCTAAGAGCTGATATTATAGGTGTGAACCACTATGTACAGCTAAGAATGAGTAATTTTTTCTTTTGTGACTGGGTCTCTATTAGGCTGTTTCCTCATCTGTGAAATGGTAATTAGCTAAAGAATGGGTTAAAGGGTTCTATTGTTGTATAACCATTTACTTTGGTAAATCCCATAATGCTTGATACATAGTAGGTCATCATGGAGCAGTAGCACTCACTGGTAAAGCCTGGCTGCTGTTCTGAGTTGTGCCTCAGAGCCGGAAATACTTGTGGGATGGATAGGACAAATGGTTTCGTACCCCTTCTACCAAGCAGAAACTATTCAGGTAATGGTTTCTTTTTTTTTTTTTTTTTTTTTGGTGTTTCAAGACAGGGTTTCTCTGTATTGTTTTGGAGGCTATCCTGGAACTCACTCTGTAGACCAGGCTGGCCTTGAACTCACAGAGATCCGCCTGCCTCTGCCTCCCGAGTGCTGGGATTAAAGGCGTGTGCCACCAACGCCCGGCTTGCGCCACCAACGCCCGGCTATGGTTTCTTTTAGTTTGAAGAAAAATTCCAAACTTCCTACTCCTCTGGCTTCAAGTCATCTTGGCCCTGGGATATTTACTATAGAAAGAACTGGGTTTGGAGGCATCTTGGGGATAAAAGAAAGGCAGGGAATGAAAGGGTAAGGGCCTATTAGTTTCTATGCCCTGTATTAACCTCAGGCTGGATGTAGGAGAAGCAAGATTACTGTTGAGCATCTGGGCTCAGATGTTCACTCAGGCTGCTTGGGGCTGTTGACCTGTTATGAATAGTAACCCACATCAAGAGTAATTTTTGTACATGTGTGTCTATCTAGCTCTCCCGCCCCCATTTGGGGCCTTCCAGTAAGGGGCCCAAGCATTCAGGAAGAGCTGACCACAGCAGGTTGAAGGCCTTTCCTTATCAGCACCATGGCTACACATTTCCCCTGACTGGGCTGCCCTCAGCTTTTCTCTGTAAAACCTCAGAGGTTCTATGGCCTCTCCCCTGAAGTACATGGCCCCTCGTCTCTAGGCCTCCTAGAGGTTTCCCTGGTGCAGAGTACACAATACATGTGCCGGGGAAGGGGACTTTGTCCTCAGGCTTTCTGCTGTCCCCCTGTTTCTAGCCTAGCTTATACAGAGACAGATGGTCATCACATTAGGCTTTCTACAAAGGCCTGCAGGCTTTAACTTCCTATCATGTATTAAATAATGGAGGGAACATGTAATGAAGAGTTGGAATTGCACAAATATGACACTTTGTTGTTGTCTCCCTGATCCTACTATGTGCCACACATTCATCTGTGTGCTTCAGGCCCTCTTGAAAATTTTGGTTCATTATCCCATGAAATAGAATTGGTTGAAGCTCTAAAAAGAAGGCAGAAGTTGTAGCTCAGTAGTGGAGCTCTTGCTTAGCATTCAGAAGATCCTGGATTTGATGCCCAGCACTACCAGGGATGCAAAAGGGAAATGACAATGGTAGAGTTTGCATGGGAACATTTAGATGTCCAAAGGATGATACTAGGGAGGCCCTAGCTCAGTGGGTCTCAACCTGTGGGTCATGACCCCATGGTATTAAATGATCTGTTCACAGGGGTCACCTAAGACCATCAGAGAGCACAGATACTTGCAGTACAATTCAGAACAGTAGCAACATGACAGCTATGAAGAAGCAACAAAAATGATTTTATGGTTGGGGTCAACACATCATGAGGAACTGTATTAAAGGGTTACAGCATTAGGAAGGTTGAGAACCACTGCTCTAGCTTCTTAGTTCTTTGATCTCTCTAGACCCTTCCTTCTTCTAGCTAGAATTCATTCTTCCATTGTTGAGAATCTTAGGCAGGTGGTTTTCTGTCCTTTGTTTTGCCACTGATATAGGACAGCACTTTTGAACCAATATCTATTGCTTATACCCATTTCTCCCTGGCATCTCCTAGAGATTTATGAGCATCAGTGAATTCTTGGGTGGAGGTGGGTATCTTGTGACCCATCCTGTCCCTGCTGAGTTCAGATAACCTCCTCTTAGAAACATGAGCCTCACTCACTTTTCTTCCATTTGTCTTTGACTCAACAAAAATGTCTCGGCCTGGCCATGGCAATGGTGCTGGCCTTTGGGCCAAGTAGAAGCCACATAGCTATGTCTGCATGGGCTTCAGGAGAGAGTAGCTGGGGCTGTGTGTTATGGTCCAGAAATAATAGCCAGGCTCACTTCTGTGGCTATTTTGGTCTTGGAACATGGATCATCAGCACTGGAAAGGATAGCTGTTAGGTAATTTTTAAGATTTTGTTTTTTATTATTTTTTTTGAGGCAGGGTCTCACTCTAGCCCAGTCTAGCCCAGAACTTTCTTGGTAGATTAGGTGGCTTGGTGCCTTGAATTTGTGACACTCTTAGTGTCTCAACTTCCTGAGCATTAAGATTGTAGACATATTGCCACCATCCCTTGTTACTTAGATTTGATAGCTTTTTTGTTTTTTGAGACATGGTTTCCCTTTCTGGTCCTGGCTGTCCTGCATCTCAGTGTGTAGACCAGACTAGTCTCAAACATAGAGATCTACCTGCCTCTGGCCTCCCAAGTGCTAGGATTAAAGGCATGTGCCATCACCTCCCAACCTTAGAATTGATAGCTTTATAAAATGAGAAACTGAGGCCTCATGGGAAAGCCAGGACCCTGTATTATCTAGGTTACTCAGTGAATGTCAGAACATCAGTGTTTAAGATTGTATAAAGACACAGGAGAGTTTTCTGTTCTATTTCCTGTATACCTGTATTCATCTACCTCTCTGTGTTCAGCATCTTTGTGTTTTCCCATTTTCCCATGGGAATCCTCAAGCAGAAAAGCACATACTTCAGATTGGGTCTGAGGTCATGTGTCTTGCCCATAGTTTGTACCAGTAGAACAGTTGGGTGTGCATACCATGACTGCTTGATAGGTGGATGAGAGTTTTTCCTGGCTCCTTTTTCCTCAGTGGAGCCAGGGTTCACAGGAAAAGGAGGGTAGTGGAGAGTAGACTAGGTTACTGTTGCCCCTTGCTGCTGTGTGCACCCATGTTCACACCATAGTATGTTTATGTGGAAGTCTGTTATCTCCGTCCACCATGTGCATTCTAGGGATCCAACTCTGGTTGTCAGCCCTGACAGCAGGTGTCTTTACCACTTGGGCCATCTGAATAGCCTCCAAGCTTCCTTTTTTGTCTTTATCAGAACTTAATGGTAGGGAAGCAGTCAGGCAGCAACCTGAGGAGTACATGGTTCTCAGGTCCCTCCAAAGCAAAGGAGGACCCTGTATTTACTGCCCTTTAGAAATAATCTGAACTTGAGCCAGTGGAATGAAATGGTTCAGTCAGTAAAGGTGCTTGCACCTGACAACCTGAGTTCAACCCATAGGACTCGTAATGAGAGGAGAGAATAGACTCCCACAGGTTGTCCTCTGATCTATACTGGGACATGCAAATGTGCAAAATAGATAGTAAATGTAACAATAAAGTAATTAAAAAAGGAAAAGTAGTGGGTCTGGAAAGATTGCTCAGTGGTTAAGAACACTTGCTACTTTTTTAAGTGGGAACTCAGTTTGGCTTCCCAGCATTCATAAAGTGACTCACAACTTTCCTTAATTCAAGTTCCAGAGGATCCAGTGCCCTCTCCTGTTTGTAGGCATCAGGTATACATGTGGCACACATATGTACATGCAGGCAAAACTCATAAACATATAGTAAGATAATCTTTGTTGTGGCAGGGGTGGGGGAGCAGAATAATCTCTCTACGTCTTGCTTCTTGTAAGTGTGGGCAAATGCAGGTTAGATTTTAGGGAGCCTGAAAAGGGAGGACTTCTGCTGGTAGCAAAGGAGAAGGATGAAACAAGTCTGTTAAGAGATGTTGGTCATTCCTATCCTACCTATCCCTAGCAAAGGCTGGGAAGGAAGTGGCATGGGTTCCTAAGTATGCACAGCCTCACTCACATCTTGTCTAGTCTTCAGTCTTTCCTGATTGGTGAAAAGGCCATGTACTCACTGTATGCTGTGGTTCTGTGCTGTGGAATTAGTTATGTGGGTATTTAGTCTCAAAGGTTTTAGTCTTTTGGAGGCCCTGTGGGCCACATATGGTTACTGTGTGCACCTCTATGTGAGTATCCTTGTATGTGTGGCGCATGGGGAGGAAGGTTCATGTTGAATCTAGAGAAGCGTGCAGTCCCTGATACTTGTTATCTCTGCTCAGTTTCAGGCCTTTCCCTTGTTCCAACAGATTCCTTGTGCTAGCAGGGAAACTCAAGCACACAGGGTCAGGCCTAACCCTGGGAAAATAAGGTGGCTGTGGGACATGACGTGGGATGGGGGAATGTTACTTGGGACCAAATGTTGGTGTCTTTCCACCTTTGATGCCAAATATGTGATAAATATGTGATCCTGAGCTAGCTATACTATTTCTGTATCCATGCCTTCCCACCCAGTGTAAGTTTTTATTTTTGTTTTGCTTTTTTTGTTGTTGTTGTTTGGTGAGGATCACATGAGTTGTTTGAAAAGCCTGTAGTAGAACCATGCTGAGATTTTGTGAGCCCTGCTTAGAAAGGAAACCGAGGTGGAATAAGTGGGGGATACCCTTCAAGCTGGACCATGGAAGAAGAAAACAGGTGCAGTGTTAGCAAGAGGAGAAGTTTCAGTTTCTGTCAAAACAATTTCTCTGAATTCCCCCTGCATTTGTGGGTCCAGTGGGCCACTCTTTCTCCCACCTTGGGCCCCCCACAGGGAAGTCCATCCTGGCCCCCACATGCTAATCTAGGAGGAGGAGGAATTTTCCTAAGGACAGGAGTGATAGGACTGGGAAAACGAGCAAAAGCTAATTCATGTTACGATGTGCTTTGCCTGTAACATTGAAGGGTTTTCCCCCTCATGATGTCTGTTTCCTTGGTCTTAGAGATGCACATTTTATTCCATGTTAATAATTACAAAATTAAGGTATATACAGAGTATGGTGTTATATACTTATAAACCCAGCACTTAGAGGCCAAAGGAGGAGGATTGTTGTGAGGTTGAGGACAGCCTGGGCTACACAGAGTACTATTCCAGCCAAGTGTCTAAAATTTAAAAAAAAAATTAAGGAACATCTTATAATCAGTGCGAGATTGCTCCTTACAAAGCTGGCTGAATCTATAATAAGTACTGTAACCTGCCTGTACCTAAGGACCCTACCCAGAAAGCCAGTATTATTAGTTTGATCGGAATTCAATTGTCAAAGTTTTGAACAAAGGCACTGAATTCTGTAAAGAGAGCCAGCAGTGCTAGTAATTGAAGGGATACCCCCTCCTTTCTGCATTTGGGGCTTTCCTCTGGTGGAGGAAGCACAACAGAAATGAGGAAGGGCTTAATAAGCAATTCTTCTCAACATTCTGGCTGACTGGTAGGTAGCTTACAGTATGATAGGAGTTGCTGTCCTCATTGGAGTGCCTGTTTTGTTTTTGAGACAGGGTCTCTACATAGCTCTAGTTGTCCTGGAACTCATTTTATAGACCAAGCTGTCCTCGAACTCAGAGATCCACTTGCCTCTGCTTCCTCTGAGTGCAGGGATTAAAGGCATTTGCCCGCACACCTGGCCTGGAGTGCCTGTTTCTTGACCACTGTTTATGCTTCAGATAGTTGACAAATCTTCCCTGTAGTCCCATCATCCCCATACTAGAGATTGAACCTAGCACCCCATGTTCTCCCATAGAGTTATACTACCAGCTCTCTATAGTTTGTATAATACTATTTTAAGTGGAAGAAGAGTTACTGTTCCCACTTTATAGATGAAGACATTTCAACCCAGAGATCAAAGGCCTTGTCCAGTGCTACACACAGCTAAGAGGTGGCATGAACTTTATGCCAGAAAAAGGCAAGTTTAAAAGACCCTGTCACCCCTCCCCCCTTTTCCCCAAATCTGAGATATGGCTCTGACAAATAGAGATCCCAGGCCTGTAAATTATCTTCTGTAGAAGATACATATTACCCATTATCTCAGCCCAACTCACTGAGCCTGGGAGCCCACCCCTATTTAACCCTTTCACTCCCATCTTAGTTCCTGTTTATGGCAGCTGTAGACTGCACTGACTCCAAGCTCAGCCTACAGAAATAGCTCCTCCAGCAGCCCAGGCAGCCACAGCAGCCTCTGTGGTCCTGACTTCTAAGAAAGGTAGCAGCAGCCCCCCACCCCCAGCTTGTATACAGGACACGTGACTTGCTGGAAGTGCTTGTGGGGGGGAGTATGGCCACAGAAGCCACATCCTTGTTTACATCAGTGAAGGGACTACCCCTTCCTGCCTTCACAGCCCTTTCTCCACCCCTCAGGTATCTTCACCTCTAGGATGATTTGAGGCTGTTGTAGCTGCCCACTTTCTATCTCAGTGCAGCCTTTGTTTCCAGCTCATACAGAACCCTCGTGGAGGGAATCAGAAGGCAGTGGAGACCTTCTGGCAAGTCTTCAGAGAAGTAGACTGCCAGGCCTGACTGGTGGGCATGTTCCCATTCCTAGCATCCCTTTCCCCTGTGCCCAGGGGGATCCCATCAGAGCAACGAACCTCTGGGGAAACACAGGGAAATTCCCTTTTCGAGGCAGCCAGTGAAAGTCAGTCTTGCCTAATTTTCAGACTCACGTGGGAGAAGAGACTCCTGCTTCTCGTGCCTCAGCAAACTATACCCAGTTTCTTTGCTATATCAGGTCCTGAGTTGGCTGTGTCTTAGGTGTGAGCTGCCCTCTACCTTCAATGGAGGTCTTGTGTAATCACTCTGTGTACACCTTTAGTGAATTGGGTGATAGAGGGGTTTGGCCACTTTATAGTCACTATCCACAAGAGACCTGCCAGGTCATACCTGTCTGGTTTCCATTTCTCAGGGGAGGCATAGGAAGCTGACTACTTACCTCACTAGTTACTGTTTGGCAGAATTTAAAGTGTTTTTCTTTTCTGTTTAAGGGTTCTAATCTTAGCCGGGTGATGGATGTGCATGCCTTTCATCCCAGCACTCAGAAGGCAGAGACATGCAGATCTCTGTGAGTTCAAGGTCAGCCTGGCCTACAGAGTTTCAGGACAACCAGGGCTACACAGGGAAACCCTGTCTCCAAAAAAAAAATTTCTAATCATGGTGGGGCAGGGTGGTGTTTTTGTTTTGTTTTGTTTTAGTGGTGGCGGTGGTAGGGTTTGGTTTGGTTGGGTTTGAAATGGAGTGTTACTATGAGATCTAGGGTCTTTGACCTTGGCAATTCTCTTGTCTCAGCCTGGATTATAGGTGTGCACTACCCTTCTTTTTTAATTTACAAAGCCCAGGCATACTTGTTGAGGAAACATCCAGTTTGCTCTTGTCACCACACTGTGACATTTGATAAGCCACAGACTTTCCCTTAGCCTCAGTTTCCTCAAGTAAAAATTGAGAAAGGAATATCGAATAGGTGGTGCCTGTTGCCACTTATGGGACATAGGTGTTGGTTTGTCTAAGTGACGAACCAATTCATTTGCCAGAAATACCTCTGATGTGGCTGTACTATTGTTTTAAAAACTTTTTGTTACTACATTTTTATTTATTCCTGGGTGTGGAGATTGTGGTTGTATGCCACAGGGCATGTGTAGAGGTCAGAGGACAATTTAAGGGAGTTGGTTCTCTTCTTCAACCACGTGAGTCTTGGAGGAAGTGCCCTTATCCACTGAGTCATCTTGCTGGCCCTTCACTGTAACTACACTTACCTGTACAACCCTATATTCTCTTGTTCTTCAGGATTGTCTGACCTTGTTACTTTTTTTTCCTTTTGAGACAGGGTCTCCTAACCTACGCTGGCCTTGAATTTACATTGTAGCTGAAGATAGATGAAGATAATCTGACCCTCCTGCCTCCACACCCTGAGGGCTGGGATGAAAGGCATGCACCACCCACCACACCTAGCTTATGCGTGTGTGTTCAGCACATCTTCAGCGCTTGCTTTCCCACCACTCCACTACAACACACAGATGAAAGAACTCTGGGGCTTGGCTTAGAGTAGAAAAGGGAATTTCCCTAGTCCCTCAGCCCGTCTTTCCCCTAATGAATGATGTTCTCACTCAGAATTCTTGTGGTGCTAGCTCTATCATCTCTTTTCTTTTGTTCCCATACCCCCAGCTGACCAGGTGTATGGAGACCAGGACATGCATGAGGTTGTGCGAAAGCATTGCATGGACTATCTGGTAAGATCCTGGGGAGGCCTTAGGACAGGACAAGGGTAGGTTTATCTCCTTTGCACATAGACCTTCATTTTTCAATCTGTTCCACAGATGAAGAATGCCGACTACTTCTCCAACTATGTCACAGAAGACTTCACCACCTATATCAATAGGAAAAGGAAAAACAACTGCCATGGTAACCATATTGAGATGCAGGCTATGGCAGAGATGTACAACCGTCCTGTGGAGGTGTATCAATACAGCACAGGTACTTCTGTAGTGGGTAGGTGAGGGACTAATGGTACCTCATCAGAGCCAACCATACTGGGTCCCCTGTGGATGCTCCCTCCTTCTCTTTCTCTGCAGAACCTATCAACACATTCCATGGGATCCACCAAAATGAAGATGAACCCATCCGTGTCAGTTACCACCGGAATATCCACTATAATTCAGTGGTGAATCCTAACAAGGCCACTATTGGTGTAGGGCTGGGCCTGCCATCATTTAAACCAGGGGTAAGTGGGTCCCAGTGCCATAGGTATTTGCTAGATAAAGAGGGTTGGTTCTGCCCTTAGCCTACAAATGTCCTCTCCCCTCTTGGAGTCTCCTCTGAAGTCTCCACCTGTATATAAAATTAATGAGTTACTGTTGATCAGAACTCATTCTAACTCATCTTAAGCTTGTTGAGAGTGGCCTTTTAGGATACTGTGGATTGTATATCCAGGCTTGCACATGGTTCTTCTCCAACTTCACAGTGCTTAGAGACAATTGGGGTCACAGACTTGGAATGTAGACCTGACCCACACACAGCTTATTGGAATGGACCCTAGGGGCATATTGTATAGGCTGGGCCAGTACTGAAAGCCCTTCCACAGGCATGAGACCTAGTAAGTGTCAGAAGATGGTATTTCATTTTCCCAGCATCCACTGGCAGATAATCATTCATTCTCACAGTCTCCTTTCATCTTCCCTATTCTTTCCTCCCTCCTTTCATCCTGTCCCTGATCCTCCCTCTCCCCCTCTTACTGGGCTGCTTTTCCTATTCCTTATCCTCCTTCCTCTCCTCCCTATCCCCTCTCTACCCCACCCCTTCTCCTCCCCCTTCTCTATCTTTCCTCTGTCCCTCCTGGGGATTCTGAAATCCTCTATTCAGATTTCACTTCCTACAAGCATTAGGTGGTCCTATCTCATTTTAAGAAAACGGCTAGCATCAAAATACCCTCCAGCCCTGGGGGTGGGGTAGGGCTTGTTTTGTTTTTTTAATAATTTAGAAAACGTTTAGATTTTCAGAATGGTTGTGAGAATATTAGAGTTTCTATATTCAACATTATGATTCACACTAATGGACTACATTTGTGGTCATTAGCAAATCAATATTGATACATTAAGTAAAAGACCACACTTTATTCACATTTCCTCAGTTTCCCCTGATGAACCATTTCTGTTCCAGGATCCCCAGGGTGCTATCTCACATTTAATTGTCCACTTTGTTTTGTGGCTTTAACAAATTTTAAAGAATTTGTTTTTGTATTTTATTTGTTGACCCACTCTGTAGTTTAGCCTTTTCTAGAATGTCATATATTGGAAATTATGAAATATGTATGTAGCTTTTCCAGAACCCCCTCACTTAATGCCATTTAAAATAATACTATTTAAATTTTAATAGTTTTTAAAATTCTATAACTTCCTGGCTTGACTTTATTTCCTTTTCTTTACAAATTTGAATGTTTAAAAGTTTCTCTAATTAATAGACTTAATTATTGAAAAACTTTTACATTTCTCTATTTCAGGAAGGGGTGGATGTCAAAGAACAACTTGTAGGGCTCAGTTCTGTCTACAGGGTTTAAATCCAGATCATCAGGATTGGCATAAGTGCCATTACTCTCTGAACTATCATGCTAACCTTCAGAATAGTTTCTCAGTATGAAGAGTTTCCATCTAGTCCCTTCCTCCCAAGGCATAGAGACTCTGGTACAGCTGTGTTTGACCCAGAGTTAATAGCTGGTTCCTGCATCATTCCTTCCTCTTGTTTTGATGACCTTGGGAATTTTAAGGATTACCGTTCTAAAGTATTACAGGGAAATTCTCTTTCTGCATGTACTCATTATTTAAACCCAGATTGTGGGTTTAGGGAGGGCGAGCACAAAGACTAAGTGCTGTTCTCGGCACGATGTATGTATTAGGAGTAAGATCTTGACTCTTAATGTCTTTGACCATTTGGCTGAAGTAGTGTTACATTTCCCACCTTTTGAATGGTGTACTATTAAGGAAGGAAGTCATACTTACGAAATGAGGATTATAACTATCTCCCTGAATTTATGTTAACCTAAACAGTTATTGCTGATGTCTGCAGTTAAAACCCCTCTACCACATGCCTCAGTCTTGCCTCCTTTCCCTTTTCATGAGTAAGTTCCCTCTTTAAAGTTGAGAACTTTCCCCACCGCCCACCAGTCATTTACATGACTGTTACTTACATATACATGTATAAGCTGAGGCAGACTCATTAACTGGACCCCCTGGAGTTCAGTGATAAGCACAGTTCTTTTTATGTTTAGTGTTACTGATTCTATTCATTTCCTAAGTGCCTGAGGCCACCACCTGCTTGTCCTTGCATACATTTGTAATTCATTTAGGTGGTTTTGTCACTGGGAGCCTCACTTCTTAACTGATCTTTAAAAAGCGATTAGCATACATTAAAGAACAGTCTTTGTTTTGTAAAGTTCTTTGGGTTTTGACAGATGCATAACAAAAAAGTGCATCTATCTTAGGCACCTAATCACTCAAATAGTTTTAGCCCCTGAAGGTTCCCCTCTCTTTCCCCTCCAACTACTGGTCCTTTGTTGACTGTTTTTGCCTATTTCAGAAGGTCACATAATTGGAATCATAGTTTGTGGCCTTTTCAAAATGCTGCTTTCAGGTAGCAGTATGCATTAAGGTTCCTCCATGGTTTTTCATGGCTTGTTAGCCATTTTCTTATCACTTACTGTTCCATTTGTGGAGGCCCACAGTTTGTTTAATCATTCACCTATTGAAAGGTCTCCCTGGTTGCTTCCAGTTTTTGATGATCATGAATAAAGCTTCTGTAAACTGCTGTGTGCAGGTCTTTGTGGTAACTTAAATTTTATGGAAGCAAGATTTCGGAATTACTTAAAAGCAAGTAACTGCCAGACTTTGTATGAAGCAGGTGTGTGTGTGTGTGTGTGTGTAAGTTCACCTTCCCAGGAATTGGATTTTCCTACTGTTTTGTATTTTAGCCACTGTTGGGATTTTAGGTTTACTTGAATTGGTAACAATGTGTTGAGCATTGTTTTAGTACTCTGCCTCTGAGGTATACCCCCAGCCTGAGTATCTTTCACATATGTCCTTTTGCCATCTCTGTGTCTTTCTCTGTGGTTAGATTGCTTACCCACTTTCATGTTTTTTAATCCATGTTTTTGTATATGTACACTTTATCACTGAGCTGGACCATATCTGCCTAATTTTAAATTGGCTCAATCTAACATTTTCATACATATATTTCCTTTAGTATTGCTCCATGATAGAAAAGTATGTGGTACATCATTACTTAGCACACGTGCATATGTGTGTTTGTGTATGTGTGTGTGTAAATGATGCTAACTTGCTGGGGGCATGTGGTACCTACCTGTAATCCTAGAATCCCAGAGACAGAGAAAGGAGACTTGTGAATTCAAATCTAACCTGGACTGCATACCGAACCATTGTTTTGGGGAAAAAAACATTTACTAAAACTTTATGAAGCAATATTTACACTTAATCCCTGAAATATACTTTGATGTTCTCTATTATTTCATTAGTGTCATATCGCTGGATGTGGTGGCTCACGCCTGTAATCCCAGCACTTGGGAGGCTGAAGCAGGAGGATTGCCATGAATTCCAGGCCAGCTTGGCCTACATAGTGAGTTCAAGATCAGACTGGGCCATGTAGTGAGACCCTGTCTCAAAAAACAAACAAACAAATAATGCTGTAGTCTCTTAAAACTTGGCATGAAATTCTGTCATACAGTGTCCTAGCACCCACACCATGCCGATACTGACCCTTCATCTCCTCACATAGCCACACCCAGCCTCATATATGCTTGACTCCTGCCTCCACTCCATGTCTTACAGTTCACTTCTCTGTTCATCTTTTCCTTTGCCCTATCTGTGAATCTGTGAGAACGGCTTCAGCATTGTAAAATAGAACCATTACTAGGTAAGGCTTCTTTTAAGTTAAGACCTAGACTGAAGAGCACCTCTTATCCCCAGACTCAGTGCTAAGCTCCAGGTGTCTTGGGGATGGGCCAGCATTTTTGACCATAGGAATTCAAAATGCCAGGTCTTATAATCTAGGCCTGTTTTCCTCCAGTTACCAATCTATGCACAGTCTGCTGAGGAGTACTTTGTAAAATTAACTTTTCCTGTGTTGTCTTTGCTAAGGCCTGTAAGTCTACCTTCCTGAGCCCATTTAGGTTCTTATCCAGGTTAAGAGCATCACCCCACATCCCTGTTCCTCTCCACTGGCAGTTTGCAGAGCAGTCCCTGATGAAGAATGCTATAAAGACGTCAGAGGAATCATGGATTGAACAGCAAATGTTGGAAGACAAGAAACGAGCTACAGACTGGGAGGCCACAAATGAGGCCATAGAGGAGCAGGTGGCTCGAGAATCCTACCTACAGTGGCTGAGGGATCAGGAGAAACAGGCCCGCCAGGTCCGGGGACCCAGCCAGGTGGGTCATGGACTCTGTCACTGGCCTGATCAAAACCTATTACTTCTTATCTTTTGGCCCCTAATGAACACGGATAAAATAAGGGGAGGGAAGCTCCCAGCCCCGTCCATAATTCATCTCAGTCTTTAGTCTTGGCATCATACCTTGCACTCCCAACACTTAATTTTTTATTTTATTTTATTTTATTTTTTTTGGTTTTTCGAGACAGGGTTTCTCTGTATTGTTTTGGAGGCTGTCGTGGAACTCGCTCTGTAGACCAGGCTGGCCTTGAACTCACAGAGATCCGCCTGCCTCTGCCTCCCGAGTGCTGGGATTAAAGGGGTGTGCCACCACTGCCCAGCCCAACATTTGCTTTTAAGAAGTAAAGGAGAGCAGTTTTTAAGAAAGGAGAGCAGCCACCACTACTGGTGTCACAAAGGAGCAATGGGTAGCTACAAAGAGAGCAGCTATTCTGGAACCCCTTGTATGCTACCCTAAGCTCTGTACTGTGGATATAAAAACTTTTCCTTCACTACTTTCAATGGTCCTGTCTGTTGAGGGAGACAGGAATTGGTAGGGCCTGTGATCCTGGCTGTGCAAACACCAGTAGGGGTAGGGCTTTCAATCAGTTGTGTTTTTAGGGTGGTGGAGGGGAGGCAGGTATCTCAGGAGTCCCAAAGGAGTTTGGAATGATCAGATGTTTGCAAGAGCAAGTATTTGTCATAGGCCTGTGCCAGGAAGCAGGAGGTCCTGCTCTTAGTGTAGTGGGGTACATTTGTGGACCTAGCAGGCCAAGATCCCTGCCCTTAGGTTACTCATGGTTTTTCAAAGTGAACTAGAATAATCATAGTGAATAAATTAGCTGGAGGTATGGTAGGAAGAATGGGCAGTTGGTACAGGGCAAGAATGAGACGAGTGGGGATGGTTTGAGTTAGCACTAAGCAGTCACCAGGGTAGGTCTCAGCACAAGAGATGACGTAAACCCCCCAAAAGTGGAATGGTAGCTGAGTGTGGACAGCACAAGGCATGGGCTGAGGGCAGCACACTTGGTGTTTATAACTCAGGAATAGCCTGTAGCTGAACAGATTGTAGTGGGTGGAAATTAGGGTAGTGGGACTAGGTTGGATAGTGGTTTGTGAGCTCTGTGGAGGGGACTTTAGTTTTGCTCTGAATGAGGCAGAAACAATGAGAGGACTGTGACCAGAAAAAGGATTGGATGTGTGTCAGGATAACAGGATCGCCCTGACTGCTGACTAAAACAGTCTAAGCTAGAAGGCAAGGGTAGAAGTAGACCAGTAAGGACGAGGCTACCAGGTAGTACATGTGAAGGTACTGTGGTCATGGATCTCTTGTGGAGTCAGGACCTCTTGAAAGAAGAACAGGATTTTCTGTCAGTAGCCTCCAAAGATACGGTAGTGGTTGTAAGTTTGCCTGTACCATTGTCATGCATTAAAGCTGTAGTGTGGTCAGGCTTCTGGAAAGGGTGTGAGCACGCTGGCACAGGAGGATCATGGCCGGTGTAGGTTCTTATCACTTTTTTCTTCCCTACTGCAGCCCCGGAAAGCCAGTGCCACATGTAGTTCAGCCACAGCAGCAGCCTCCAGTGGCCTGGAGGAATGGACTAGTCGGTCTCCACGGCAACGAAGTTCAGCCTCGTCACCTGAGCACCCTGAACTGCATGCTGAGCTAGGCATTAAGCCCCCTTCCCCAGGCACTGTGTTAGCTCTTGCCAAACCTCCTTCACCCTGTGCACCAGGTTAGTGACTTGCTTTCAGGGTGCCCTGCTTGGGCTAAGAGACTCTGCTTGGTGGGCCCTACCTCTGACTGTTCATCTGCCTCAGGTACAAGCAGTCAGTTCTCGGCAGGGGCTGACCGGGCCACCTCTCCTCTTGTGTCCCTCTACCCTGCTCTGGAGTGCCGGGCCCTCATCCAACAGATGTCCCCCTCTGCCTTTGGTAAGCCTTCTTAGAGGATGGGCCAGCTGGAATTCAGGAGAGCCTGGAGGATTTTTGAAGCCCTTGGGCACCTTCCCAAATCAGAGGCCTGAAGGAAAATTTCAGACCCAAAAAGTTTTTTTCCCCAGGGTCTAGCAGAGTTTCAGAGAGAGTTAAGGGAGCCAATGAGTGACTAGGACCTGGATGGATTAGACAGGAAGGAGGGAAATGGGCCGAAGACCCCTATCATTGTTTTCCCCTTCTCTCTCCTGCCCAGCAGGTCTGAATGATTGGGATGATGATGAGATCCTAGCATCGGTGCTGGCAGTGTCCCAACAGGAATACTTAGACAGTATGAAGAAAAACAAAGTGCACAGAGACCCACCCCCAGACAAGAGTTGATGGAGACCCAGGACTGGACACCATCCTAGACCCCTACTCCTGCCCTTGATGCCACCCAACCTTCTTTGGCTTTCTTCCCTCTTGGCTTCCTTCCTTCGTTTCCTCTTTTCCTTTTCCACTTCCCTCTGGCTGGCCCACCCAAGCGCTCCATCCATCTCATCCCTGCCACCATCAACAGGCTCTGCCAGCTGATGTGCCATTGCCCCCTGCACAGCACCGTCTCAGCATTCCACAGGGGACTCTGGAAAGGGTGCCGAAGGTAGGCAAGAGGCACACAGAGACAGACCATCTGGCAGCCAGGCAGCCCCAGAAGAGAGATACTCAGGCAAAGGAAGTCTACTGTTCGCCCTTCCTTACAGATCAATTAAACTTGTTACCCTTCCCCTGCAATGGTGACAGGAAAGGTGGAAGTGGGAAATATTCCCTCCTAGTACCCCAAGAATCTGAGCCTTCCATGTTAAATTTTTCTTTCTGAAAACGTACTTTCATCATATAAAATCAACAAATCAAAAACCATGGCCATGGCGACACTTGCTCGGTGAGGATGGCATCTCCGATTTGGAGACAGACAAGTTGGCCATGGGGCATGGTGGCCAGACAAAGAGATGGATTTCTGCTGTTTTCTGACCTCTAGTTCCTTGGAAGGAAAGAAGATATGAGCCAGAGGGAGGTGGCAGGGGTTGCAGGTGGCAGACTGACTGTGGACAATGAGACCCTGACCTTGCTGCATTCCTTTTGCTTCCACCACCACTAGTCTGTTTGGAATCTTGAGGTGGAGGTATCTTTGGAGATCATGGCCGCTACCCAAGATTTGAGTTTAGGGAGTGGGAGCAGCCTTGGCAAATGGGGCACCCGTGCCCTGCAGGTGTTGACAAGATTCACCATCTGTAATGTCCTTGGCACAATAAAACCAAATGTCAGTTTCCCTGAGCTGCTCTGTTCTGTGTGGGGCAGGGGTGGCTCGGCCTCTGGGAAGCACGGAGTTTCACTTGACTTGAGGTCTACATGTTCTCCAGTAGGTGCTGTCTGTGGTTGGGTTCATCTTTGATCCGTTTATTAAATGCACTTCTTGCTAGGTACAGTGTAGGTAGAGCCCAGGCTGTTGAAACTAACCTGGGCTACATAACCTGCAACAACAAAACTCTACTAAGTGGATGAATCTATGAGTTTCAGGCCAGCCTGATCTATATAGTAGAATTGCAGGCCAGCCAGGCTATACAATAAGACACTTTTCTCAAAAATCATAGCAAACTTTTTCAGTATCAAATCTTTAAAGTTCCTACTCCCACCTACCATATTTCCAAATGGGAGCCTACGGATAATTAAGGACTGTGTTTGAGCTGAAGGCCATGACTGAATTGTTTGAATTTCCACTGTCAACCTTAATGTTCATTCTTGTGATAATCTGATGAAGAAATAAACAATTGATAATTAGCTATAAGAGTTTAGTGACAGTGACCAGAGATGACCCTTGTCTGACTGGGTTTTAGAAGCTGGAGAATGAAAAGGCTAAATCCTTTTTTTTGTTGTTGTTGTTTCCAAATTCTGTTGACAGCTCTCACCATCCCTTCTAGTTTTTTAAGCCCAGGTTGAGAAGGCTAGCTGACCCTCAGATTTTCTCAAAACAGTATTCCCGGCACCATGCCTCAGTGGGGTCCCTGCAGAAGGCTGATTGTGGGGGCCCCTACAGGTGAGGGTGTGGTTTGCCCAGTGGGTGGCTGCAGGGTATTTGAAATACATGGTCAAGCATGAGCACGCCAAGAGGGTTGATTTTTAAAATCTATCTGCATTTTCTAGCTGTGTGACTTTGGGCTCTCTTTGAGTTTAAAGTGCCCCATCTGCAACTTACAGGGGTCATTAATGTCTGCTACCTCATGCTCTCTGATTTGTGAGTATTGACAGAGAATGTGTATGGTCAATAATGTACTACTGGGAACAGTACCTGGTACATTCTTAGAGCACAAATGTTGGGGTTATTACCAGACTTAGGGGTGGGGGTATTATCGTATTTTGTAAGTTTGTACCATTTGGCCTCAGCCTGCCTCTTGCTACTCCTGGCTTTTACTTGCAATTTGCCCTAACCCTATCTTCAGCTACCAACCTAATTTGTCTTTTAAGACAGAGGGATCACGTAAGAAAAGTTTGTGTGATCTCATTCACATTCTCACTTCTGTCTACAACTATCCCCAATAACTGTACTACAAATAAACTTCTGGGCTGGGGCTGTGATGCTTACTTATCTTGTTTGTGCGTGTCTTAAGATCTATCTCTGCACTCATAGGCAAGGCTCATAGTAAAACACCTAGTAAAGTTGGATGAGTTAAGGGAAATTACAAGCAACTGTTATGCTTTGTGTGTATTGTCTGGGCCACAGGGAATCCGCCACCAGTTTCCCTTCAGTGTCCCTGGCTGAATGTGTATGTGTCTGTGTCCGATGAGGGCTTGTTTCCAGGTGTGTCAGATGGTGACTGAGTGTGGGACTCTGCCTATGACAGTTTGTGTCTGCTATCTGAGAGAAGTGCATGTTTGCGTGGGTCTGTCAGTGACGGTGCATCTGTAGTTTGTCTGGATAGTTTCAGTGATAAGGCTGCATGTCTGATAGTGTATGTGATTGCATCTATTTTTGTGACATTGTTTATGTAGCTGTTTGATGCCTGCTTTGGAGCTGTGTGTGTGTGTAAAACATCTATGTATATTTTTGTGACAGAATGTGGGTATCTGGTGGTACTGGTGTGCTTGTGACAAGTTGGTCAGTTTCTGGTGGGACATACTGTGTTAAATGACCCCATGAGACAGTCCAAGTAAAGTCACATCACTGAGTGTTTCTGGGATAGTCTTTGGATGTATCTTCATGTGCATCTAGCTCTAGGACAAGTCTCCCTGAATGAATCTCACTATCTTTCATGGTAGTCCCCCCTCCCTGTATGTCTGTGTGGGTGTGGTCGGAAAACAACTTGTGGGGATTGAGTACAGGTTGGCAGACATGGTAGCAAATGCTTCTGAGCCATCTCACCTGCAGTCCTTTTGGGTTTAATTCACATTCTCACTATGTAGCCCAGTCTGGCTGCCGATTCATGATGGTCCTCCTGACTCAGCATACAAAGTAATTTGGATTGTGTGTGTACTCTTTTTTTTTTTTTTTTGGTTTTTTTGAGACAGGGTTTCTCTGTATTGTTTTGGAGGCTGTCCTGGAACTCGCTCTGTAGACCAGGCTGGCCTTGAACTCACAGAGATCCGCCTGCCTCTGCCTCCCGAGTGCTGGGATTAAAGGCGTGCGCCACCAACGCCCGGCTGTGTGCGTACTCTTAAATCCCTAGCTTTCCATGTATCTTTTTTTTCAAGACAGGGTTTCTCTATATAGCTTTGTAGAACAGGCTGGCTTCACAGCTCTCAGAGATCTGCCTGCCTGTGCCTCCTGAGTGCTGATATTAAAGGTGTGCACTGGCCGGGCTGTGGCAGCGCACGCCTTTAATCCCAGCACTTGGGAGGCAGAGGCAGGCGGATCTCTGTGAGTTCGAGGCCACTCTGGTCTACAGAGCGAGTTCCAGGACAGCCTCCAAAACGATACAGAGAAACCCTGTCTCGAAAAACCAAAAAAAAAAAAAAAAAAACTAAAGCAAAACCAAACAAAATCCATCCTACAGGTGCCAAGCTGTCATGGGTACTCTGCTCCCCTTCATTGTCATGGGGGTGATAAAAAATGTTATTATTTCCTGAAGAGTGGACCAGCTCGTCTATGAGGGCCTGGTTACAATTTTGAGGCAAAGGCTACCTGATTCTGGGTGAGAAACACGCTTGCATGATAGAATCCTGCCTAGTTCTGCTTATTAAAAGCTGGCTCGGCGTTGTTTCCTCACAAATTCCAAGGCTGCAAAGGCTGTTGCGGCTGCAAACCTGTGTCCTAGGAAAGGGGGGTGCGCTTTTTTATTAAGTGTGTACACACACCCCACCACACCAGCAAGCAAAACATGCGCGGTTGTCGCAAAGGGATTCCCAGAACCTGTTCGAGCGTATGTGAGTGCGTGTGCGCGCGCGAGTGTCTGCGTGTGTATATGTGTGTGCGCGCGCGCGCGCGGCCGCCCCGCCCCCACATTTGCATACAGACTCCACCTCCGCGGAAGAACCTGGAGTGTATTTGCATAAGGGCACTTGAAACGTTGATGGTGGCATGCAAATAAGGACTGGCTCCGATTGGCCCGGGTACAGCAGGTGCCGCGTCCGGATTGATCAAAGCCAGGTGGGCGGGGTTGTCGCGCAGGGCGACTCTCCGGGAGGCGCGTGCCCCGGCTCAGTAGCATTGGGGCTGGCGCGCGCGACGAATCTTAACGCTGCGCCGTCTGCGGGCGCTTCCGGGCCACCAGATTCCCTGCCTTCCACCCTGGCGCCCCCCAGCCCTGGCTCTCCAGCCGCTCTGCCCCGGGCATCCACGCCCTGCGGGCTCAGCGGATTCAGCGGGCTGAATCTACGCAGCACCTCCTCCATGTTGACCAAGCCTCTGCAGGGGCTTCCTTCGCCCCCTGTGACCCCCACGAAGCCTCCAGGTGAGCGCAGTCTCCTCTGCCACAAGCAGGTTGGGTGGATATAATGGTGGGTGCCAGTGTGGAGGCGAGAGAGTCACGGCCGGGATCCGAGTACACCGCCACCCTGACTTCCTCGCCTCCGCTTGCGTAGGTGGCAAGAATCGGGCAGCTTTCGAGGCCGAATACCGACTTGGCCCCCTCCTGGGTAAGGGAGGCTTTGGCACCGTCTTCGCGGGACACCGCGTCACGGATAGACGTCAGGTATCCCCTATAGGGGGTTCTGGGAGGGTCAGGTGTTTTGGCGAAGGGTGGTGGTGGGGTGGCGGGGATGGAGATGCCCGTTGCTCCAGTGGGGAACCTGCAAATGTGTAGTAAAAATGTTAAGGAGCAGGGTTGTTATGTGTGTTGAGTGCGTGCGCGTGTCTGCAGTCCAGGTGGGTTTGGGTCTGGGCAGGAATTCTGGAAGACTGACTATTTCTACTGGGAAGGAGACAGATCTTCAGGACTCGACCCCAAGATCCATGGAATCTGCGTGCGTGCGTACATGCGTGCGTGTGTGTCTGTGTGTGCGTGTGTCTGGGAAAGTGGGGATTTTTTTAGTAGGTGGTAAGTGTGGAGTCGTGAGAACAAGAATCCAGATAGAGTTGTGTCCTGGGGATGATGGAGGAGAGCACGCGATGTCAAAAACCTTAAAATTTCAATGCGGGGATATGGGTCAATGGTGGATGGTTTGTCCACCATTCACAAGCACTGAGTTCAATACCAACATCACACAGAGTGGTGGGTGGTGTAGGGAGACAGTGGGAAACAGAGAAAAACAAAAGAAAAAACTACAGGTCCATTCTGGATTTCAGGGGGTCTTGATGAATCCCTGACAAGAGCTCATGGGTAAAGATGTTAGATGGCTGGAGGGAACTTGCTTCTGGGGACTTGAGAATGCTCGATAGGCATCCGAGCTCCAGTAGGTGTGATGTATATGGGAATTAGAAATACTGGAGTGGAGAGACTGCAGTTGGGCAGAGGGTCTAGAGTTAAGAGGAGTCTGGTTTCACCGGCTGGCTCCTTATCTCACGATTTTTTTCTAGGTGGCCATCAAAGTAATTTCCCGGAATCGTGTGCTAGGCTGGTCCACCGTGGTGAGTGTGTTTGGTCTACGTCATGATCCATGGACTCCATCAACGCACTCACCCCCTGATTTTTCTTCCTAGTGGATATATGATTCCCTGGGCCCTGAAATCGTGAGAACCCCACCAGCCTGTGTTTACTGCCTTTATGTGATAGCTCTGATTTCACCGCAATTTCCCCAGAGCTCTGGATTCTCCTCTCAAACTCTCCTTTTGCACCCTTCTTCCAAACACTGCTTCAGGGGATGTTTCACAGTACTTGCTGGTGGGGAAGGAGGGGCTTAGGTCACTGGTTGTCATGGTGATGCTGGCTGCTTCTCTCCTGCCACCCTGAGAACACTAACGGACATCAGGGCGGGTCTGGGCAAATTGTAGGTAAGAGCGCCCCCTGGCGGGTGCTTCAGACAGTCTATGTCGTCCCTGGGACAGAGGGTGGGTGAGCCTGCGCAGTAGCCGAATTTGCATCTCCGTGAGAAAACCTGTCTGCGACTGTGCAAGTTAGTGGGCCTGTAAAGGGCCTCATCTGAAGCAGAAAGACCCTCCGCACTGACTGTGCACTGCCTGTTCAGGTGTGGGGGTGGCGTTACTGAATTGTGCTAGTTGATTAGTAAAGACTGGCAAAACATCGTATTCATTAAATGTTTGCTCTGTGCCAGGTCCTTTGAATTAATCACTGTAAGCTGTTTTTAAAAAAATGAAAGCCAGGGTTGGTGGCGTGCCTGTAATCACAACATTCAAGAGGCTGGGCCACTAGGATTTCAGTGAATTTGAGGCCAGCTTGGGCTACATGGCAAGATCCTGTCTCAAAAATGAGACAGAATTGAAAAGCCAGAGAGCATCTATGCAGTGGCATAATTATAGGCACCTTGCAAAGTACATCTAGTATGCATAAAAACTATCCTGATCTGGCTGCTGGCTAACAAGATAGGTAAATATATCTCACCTCTGCAGAGGGACTTTATTAGAAAACTCTCCGAAGGCCAGGCATGGTGGTGTACACTTTAATCCCAGCACTCTAATCCCAGCAGAGGCAGCAGATCTCTTGAGTTCCGGACCAGCTTGCTCTGTGTAAAGTTCCTGTCCCCAACTCCCTCCCCCTAAAAAGGAAAACACTTGAACTTATTCAAATATTTACTGAACATGCCAGATGTATATGGTCTCTGCTCATTTCACTCCAATGAATTTGAGCCTTTGAGAGGATACTGAGGCCTAGGAAGGGAAGTGGCTAGCTAAAGGCCAGAATCAGTGCTCGGGAAATAAACTGTTATATGCTGACAATAGAGCTACAGACTTACTATCTACCTTTTTTTTCTGTTTCTTTCTCACCTCAGTCAGAGTCAGTCACTTGCCCACTTGAGGTAGCACTCCTGTGGAAGGTGGGCGAAGGCAATGGGCATCCGGGTGTGATCCGCCTGCTTGACTGGTTTGAGACACCAGAGGGCTTCATGCTGGTCCTTGAGCGGCCTATGCCTGCCCAGGATCTTTTTGACTACATCACAGAGAAGGGTCCACTGGGTGAGAGCCGCAGCCGCAGCTTCTTCACCCAAGTGGTGGCAGCTGTCCAGCACTGCCATGCCCGCGGAGTTGTCCATCGTGATATCAAGGATGAGAACATCCTCATAGATCTGTGCCGGGGTTCTATTAAACTCATTGATTTTGGTTCTGGGGCCCTGCTGCATGATGAACCCTACACGGACTTTGATGGTAAGGCTTCTTCCCTACAATTTCTGGTGGGAGGGCTGTTTATAATCTTTAATTCTTTTGACTTTTGAGCTTTAGTATTGGGTTGTCCTTGTAACCTTGGACCTATATCGTGCCCTTTAAGGTTCTGGATTCTTAAGCCTAGATGCCTGATAAGGTCCCTTTTCTTACAGTTCCTTAACCTTGTGGGGATCTTGTTAGTATTAGCTTTTTGTAGTTGGGTTTTTGGTAACTCGGAGGTGCTATTTTGCTGCTGACAGCACTCTGCTGTTAAATTTGAAGTGTTACCACTCCAGCAAGTGGATACTCTCCTTTAATGTACAGTTCATACTTCTAGGGACACAGGGGTTGAGGAAGGGCATCATCAGAAAAGGATCTAATCCTTGGCTTGTGTGCAGGGACAAGGGTGTATAGCCCTCCAGAGTGGATCTCTCGACACCAGTACCACGCCCTCCCGGCTACTGTCTGGTCACTTGGTGTCCTCCTCTATGACATGGTCTGTGGGGACATTCCCTTCGAGAGAGACCAGGAGATTCTGGAGGCTGAGCTCCACTTCCCTCCTCATGTCTCCCCAGGTGAGGCCCTCACTGTCTACAGCCCAACAGGCTTCGTTCCTCCCAGGACTGGGGACCCTTTGCTGACTAATTCCCCTCTGCTTCTTGACCCCACAGATTGCTGTGCCCTAATCCGTCGGTGCCTGGCCCCTAAACCCTGTTCCCGACCCTCACTGGAGGAGATTCTGCTGGACCCATGGATGCAAACACCAGCTGAAGAAGCACCCATCAATCCCTCCAAAGGAAGCCCCACCCCCTTACCCTGGTCCCTGCTTCCCTAGGCCCAGCCAGGCTGTTTGGAATCCCATGGTCATGCTACAGGGATAGATGGACATCTGTTTACCTGGTTATACAGGTTGTTAAAGATCCAGTATTACTAAGGTCAGGGAATAAGGATCAGGGATCAGAAGATAGCCAAGTCTGCCCAGTTCCTATCCCAATCCTGTGAAGGAGCTCTCCTCCCAGAACCTGTGGTCCCTTATTTGGGAGAGGGAGTTACTTGTTTCTTGTTCTGTTAAGGATGTTCATTTGGTTGGATTCCTTCCCTTCTGGGCCCTAAGATTCTTATTCTTACATTGTAGTCCCTACACTGGCACCCCCTGTACTACTACCACAGACTTAGACACTTAGTTCAAATGCTCTCACTCGGGCAAGGGTGCTTTCCTTAAAATACCCCAGCTGCTCTTTAGCAAAAGGGCCCTTACCCTGGGATCTCATTCAGTTGCTGCTTGCCTGCCTTAGCCCAGAAATGACTATTCTGGGGAAGGTTTAGCATTATTAAGCCCTATTAATTAGTATCCCAGTGCTTTTTTTCCCTTTGGATTTTGTTTTTGTTGTTGCTTTGTTTTGGTGAGGGGACCCTACTGTTATCCCAAGTGCTCTTATTCTGGTGAGAAGAACCTTACTTCCATAATTTGGGAAGGAATGGGAGATGGACATCACCGGACACCACAGACACTAGGATGGGATGGATGGTTTTGGGGGATGGGATGGAGGAAATGAGTCTTACTGTCTGTTCTCCTGGGGCCCCCCTCCACCCTTTGCTGCCTCCTCCTGAGCCAGGGTTGTCCAGTGAATATAGTGTAAATAATGACGTGCTGGCGGTAGGAGAGCTGCTAGTGTGCCCTCCTGTCCCTTCTCCCCCTGCCTGGATTATTTAAAAAGCCATGTGTGGAAACCTATTTAATAAATAAGGAAGTCACAAGTGAATGGCCATTTATAGAGGTAGGCATTAGCGGAGCGCCTACTGGATGCTGCTGAGTTTAGAAGATGCCTGAAGAAAATTCTCTATTGAAGAAAAACCCAATGAGACAGTGGGCCAGTCTGGCGCACGTTTTGTTTTTAGATGGGGTCTTCTGAAGCACAAGCTAGTCTCAAACTCGGAGTGCTGGGATTTACTGGCACAAACATAAATCCCAGGCTTCCAACTGGAATCTTTCTAGCACTTTCTGTGTAGCTCTTTAAACCTTAATTTTGTCTTTACCTTTCATGCTCCTCCTCCCCTCCCATCTACCTCAACTCACCTCCCTTGGTTTCTCTAACCCTGACGTCAATTGTCCTGAGCCCTGGCCATCATTTCCTCCATTATGGTGACTAGCCCTCCCTTCTGTAGTTCAGCAGGCCATTCTTCGAATCTAGCCGTAGCCCTATGGCTCACTTGTCGTGCCTTCTCGAAAGTCCGGTTCCTCCCAGTTGGCCTCCGGCCCTTGAGGGTGGGACCTAGTTAGGTGATGGGAATAGAGCTGAGTTTCTCTTGCGAGAAGGGTGGTGCCATCTGAAGGTTCCAATAAAAAGCGAGATGGCGGAGCAACGGAGCCAATGAAACCACGGAATGGTTTGGGCTGGTGGTATGGACGGTCGGGGTCAGTGAGGCAGGCAAACGGGAGGCGTGGGCCGGGTCTAGTGTCGCGATGTGCCTACAGAGAAGTGTTAGGTCTGCAGCGCCCTCGGTCTCCAGTTTGGATGGAATTTGGGAACCCCGAAGCCACCATTTTAGAATCGGGCTTGGAACGGGCTAAAAACACCCACGTCCCAGACCCAGCTAATGCTCCGCCCTCCACTCCTGGGGTCCGGAAGCGGACGTGATGGATACGGAAGTAGACTGCTGTTGCCGAGGGGACGGGACGGGCAGATGCCAACATGGCAGCGGTTGGGGTTGGCGGATCCACCGCGGCGACCGGGCCAGGGGCCGTGTCCGCTGGCGCGCTGGAGCCTGGGTCCGCCACAGCGGGTGAGATGACCTGAGGCAGAGCAATTGGCTGGGAGGAGATCGGGATCCTTGGGGGGGTGGAATGATCCTGCACTGAAGTGACAGTGGCATCTCGTGTAAACGAATGGACATAGTGTGTGTGAGAGAGTGTTGTGCGAAGAAGGGGAGAGAACGGACCATTGTCCGATGGGGGCAGCAATCGGTCATTTTGTGGATGCTTGTGGCGGGGGGTCCTGGACTTGGAAATAAAGACCATTGCAAATGTGTAGGGGATTTCCTTTTGAGGAGGCTGACCATTGAGAACGTTCTGGGGGTGTGGGTACTCGTTAATTGTGGAAGGGAGAGACGATTTTTAGTGTGGGAGTTTTTCCTTATAGAAGGGAGAGGCGGTTCTTAGTCTGATGGCTTTTTCCTTATAAAGGCACCTTATAAATTGTCAGGGTGGGGCATATCCTTGTATGACTAGTGGATCCATTTTGAGCATGAGGCTGTCCTTCATTGCATGGAGAGATTGTTCTGGGGATGTCCCAGCCAAATGGAGATAGTTCTATTTGTGCTGAGGTGAGAGGGTTCCTTCCTTATAGGTCAGGGAAAGAACATTCTGAGGGTGCCAAGTCCTATATTATAGCAGAGAGAGCTCATTGTGAGTGTGGGTAGAACAAAGAATTATTCTTTGGCTAGGAGGACAGTGTACAGCAGAGGGGGGATGGACTATATGGAGTAAGGAAGTATTTCCTTGTGTGATTAAGGTAGTCAGACTACTGGGTAACCATTGAATGAGATGGAAAAATAGAAAAATCCGTAGGAGATGGACATCTTAAACAGTTGTCCCATTCATTATATTGGGATATTCTCTTATGGGACAGTCCCTCAAGTTGAAACATCACTTCATATAAATCCTCAGTTTGCTCATCCACAAAATGGGATTCTTCACAGTACCTTCAGAGACCACATGGTGGGAATCCATGTAAACCCCTTAGTCCAGTGGTAGGCAGTAAGCATTCAATAAATATGGGGAATGCTGTCTGAGAAAGACTTGCTTCCTGGGGGAGGAGGAAGTGAATATGTGTGTCCAGGGCCTGCTCAGGTCATTTCCTCATACCTTACTAAGGATTTCAGATTAGGAGCTGGTCAGAATGGGGCCCGCTTCTCCCTGTCTGACACTTTTGCCAGTAACTGAGGGTGTGGAAACTGGTAGGGAATCAGATTCTCATTGAGGCAGGATGGGCAGGCAGAGGAAGTCCCAGTGACTGGGAGCTTTTGGAGAAAAGAGGGGTGAGGTGGGTGGCTGTACCCCAACAGCTTCTGACCCCATCCTTCTGTGTTCATTCCACTCCCTACAGCTCACCGGCGCCTCAAGTACATATCCTTAGCTGTGCTGGTGGTCCAGAACGCCTCCCTCATCCTTAGCATCCGATATGCTCGCACACTGCCTGGTGACCGCTTCTTTGCCACCACCGCTGTGGTCATGGCTGAAGTGCTCAAAGGTGTCACCTGTCTCCTGCTGCTCTTCGCCCAGAAGAGGGGTATGAGCCAGGGAAGGGGTTGGTTGGTCTGACCCCCTGTGTGTAAGCACACCTGGGAGTTTTTTGGGTTTGGGTTTTTTCTGGGAGTGTATTATACTGGTGTGTTTGAAACTGCTTGGGGACTATGTAAGTGGCTTCCCTGCCACTCCAGCTGTGTAAAGTTTCATCGCCACTTGTATAGGTCTTCCACCTTGGGAACTGTAGTAGTGAGATGGTCTGCCCACAAGGTAACAGAACACTCTTGGGGATTCAAAACTTTAACACTATCCTATGGAAGCCAAGTGTGCTGGTACATGCCTATAGTAACAGCACTTGGAAGGTGGAGGCAGGAAGATCAAGATAATATAGGAAGTTCAAGGCTAGCCTGGGCTTCATGTGACTCTGTCTCAAAAGGAAAGAAAAACCTTGTAACATAGAGAACTCCATTACACACACACACACACACACACAATAAAATGGTTCACAATTCTTAACCCTTGGCCACCCTGTCATAAAGCAGCATCAGTGGCTAGCTGCTCACTGCTAATCTATATCTTTTGACATGGCTGGACCATTATAGGACCAGCTGGCTGGAGTGTCATGCACTTGTAACTACACCTGGTCAGCATACTAAGGCGGAGCATCAGTCAATTCCATGAATTCAAGGCTATCTTGAGCAACATTTAATTCTCCAATGATTCAAAACAAGAAAAAAAAGCAATAAGTAAATGAAAGTATACCTACAGTTGGGGGTATAGCTTAGTTGATAGAGTACCTAGAATATATAAAACTGAGTTTGATGTCCAGCACATTAAAAATCAGTGTGACAAATGCCTATAATCTGAGGCAGAAGGATCAGCAGTTCAAGGTCATCTTTGACTACATAGTGAGTTCGGGGACAGCTTGAACTATCTGAAGTTCTGTCTAAAAAAGGAAGCATAATAAAATCATACATGATAAAATAACAATAAAGCTGGGTAATTAGGCATGTAGGAGGCAGGAGGGTCATAAATTCTAAGTCTTCCTGGGCTGAAGCAAGATCCTGTCTCAAAACAAAACAAACAAACAAACAAAAACCCAAACCACCAATGAACAAAAAAAAAAAAAAAAGAAAGCCAGACCTGATGGTACAGGCATGTAATTTCAGGTACTTGAGAAGCTGAGGCAGGAAAACCATAAGTTCAACACCAACCTGGTCAATTTTCTAAGACCCAATCTCAAAATAAAACATAGGATTAGCAAAATAGCTCAGCAGGCGTCTTTAATCCCAGCACTCGGGAGGCAGAGGCAGGCGGATCTCTGTGAGTTCCAGGCCAGCCTGGTCTACAAAGTGAGTTCCAGGACAGCCTCCACAGCCACAGAGAAACCTTGTCTCAAAAAAAACAAACAAAAAAAAGCTCAGCAGGTAAAAGCTCTTGCCATGCAAGCCTGATAGCCTGAGGTCTATCCCCAGGACCCATGATGGAAGGAAAGAACTTGGCCCCATGAAGTCTGCAGACATATATCACACACAATACAAATAAAGGACTGGAAATGTAGCTCAGCTGTAGAGCATTTGCTTAGCTTCTTCAGGGCCACAGGTTCAATCCCCAGTACCATACATGTGTATATACACACAAGAAAGAAAACCAAAACAATAGTGGCGGGGAAGATGGCTTTATGGGTAAAATGCTATGCAAGAATGAAGACCTAAGCAGGGCGTTGGTGGCACACACCCTTAATCCCAGCACTCGGGAGGCAGAGGCAGGTGGATCTCTGGGAGTTCCAGACCAGCCTGGTCTACAGAGAGAGTTCCAGGACAGCCTCCAAAACTACACAGGGAAATCCTGTCTAGAAAAAAAAGATGAAGAAGACCTAGTTCAAGCTCCAGGACCCCTATAAAAAGCAGGCATAGTGGCATGCACCTAATCCCAGGTCATCTTTGTGAGCTCAGGGACAGGAGGCAGGGGACAAGCTCGAGGTTAGGAACAGGAAGGGCCTGTGTGCTCCCTGACCAGCCAGTCTAGGCAAAATATCCAGCCCTGTCTCAAAAAATAAGATGGAGAGAGCTAGAGAGATGGCTCAGTATAGTTAAGGACATACTCTGCTCTTGCAGAGGCTGAGTTCAGTCGCTATCACCTATGTTCAAGTGGCTCACAACCTCCTATATCTCCAGTTCCAGGGAATCCAGTGCCTCTGGCCTCCACAGGCAACTTCACACATTTATACAGACAACATAGACACAGAATTGTTTTTTTTTTTTTGGTTTTTATGAGACAGGGTTTCTCTGTGTTGTTTTGGAGGCTGTCGGTCCAGCCCAGCCTCGAACTCACAGAGACCCGCCTGCCTCTGCCTCCCAAGTGCTGGGATTAAAGGCGTGTGCCACCACGGCCCGGCGACACAGAATTGTTTTAAAGCTGCTGGGCGTTAGTGGTGCACGCCTTTAATCCCAGCAGTCCAGTCGGGAGGCAGAGGCAGGTGGATCTCTATGAGTTCGGAGACCAGCCAGGTCTACAAGAGCTAGTTTCAGGACAGCCTCCAAAGCTACGGAGAAACCCTGTCTCAAAAAAAAAATAATAATTTTTAAAGCCTTAAAAAGTAAAATAGGGTGAGGGTTGAGAGGTGGTTTGGCAGTTGAAAGCATTGGCTCCTCTTCCAGATTCTTGTTCCTGCACCCACACAGTGGCTAAGGTTTGTCAGTCTAGTTCCTGGGCATCTGATGTTTCTTCTGGCCTCTGTGGGCATTGACCCCATGTGGCACACAATCATACCTGCATGTACACATACATGCACAAATACTCCTACACATAAAATAAAAATCGATATTAAAACATTAGGATGCGAAGTGACGGAGGAAGACACCCAACATTTGTCTCTGTCTTCGTCAGGGGCATGCACAGACAAGTGTCCCAGCCCAGTCACACTCCCACACACAAAATCCCAAACCCAGAAGACTAAGCACTCCATCAGTCTTCAAATCTATAAAGCCTTCTTTTTGGGGGTTTTCAAGACAGAATTCCTTTGGGTAACAGCTCTGACCTAGAACTCACTCTGTAGACCATGCTGGCCTCAAACTCACAGAGATCCACCTGCCTCCCTAGTGCTGAGATCAAAGGCGTGCGCCACCGCCACCCAGCGGTAGCTTTTATTAATTTGTGAGGTGGGCAGCCGTGTGTTATGTAAGCTTGTGGAAGTCAGTAGTCAGCTGAATGGAATCTCTCCTTCCATCATATGGGTCCTGGGGATGGAATTAATGTTATCAGGCGTGGCAGCAAGCACCTTTACCCTGATAAGTCATCTTGCTGGCCCTATTTTGATTTTTTGAGATAGTTTCAGGTAGCCAAGGCTGGTTTCAAACACTGGAGCTAAGCTTGATTTTGAACTCCTGATCCTCTTGTGTCTGCCTCCCAAATTTTAGGATTATAGGTATGCACCACCATGATGAGTCACAATTTTAATTTGTATGCCTGCCTGCAAGGCCTTCCCTCCCCCCTTTGAGACAAGAACTCACTGTACTGCCTAAACCCATCTTAAACTCAAGTTGTTGGGCTAAAGTCCTGCTGTCTCAGCCTCTGGTATAGCTTGTGCTCCAGCTACAGGCACACCATTGGGCTCTGCTCAGTTTGCATTTCCTTGAATTAGCTAGTGATAACCTAGCCTTCAGTGTTGAACACTTGTTCACCATGTGCTAAAACCCTAGGTTACATCCCCATCACGACAAAAGGAAAAGCTCTTGAGTGCTTGTAACCGTGCCATTTGAATAAGAGCTTTTCCTCAGCTATACAATAAGGCTTTGTCGGAAAAACCAAAATAAGTAGCCGGGTGGTGGTGGCGCACGCTTTTGATCCCAGCACTTGGGAGGCAGAGGCAGGAGGATCTCTGTGAGTTCGAGGCCAGCCTGGTCTACAAGAGCTAGTTCCAGGACAGCCTCCAAAGCCACAGAGAAACCCTATCTCGAAAAACCAAAAAAAAAAAAAAAAACCAAAAGAAGTAGCAACCTAACCCTGACCTGATGTGGAGCACTTGGTAGACCTGGGTTTTGAGTTTCGCCACTTTTTTATGCATATCCACATAATTCTTCACAGAAATATGAGTGTACTTTTTTTTGGTTTTTTGAGACAGGGTTTCTCGGTATTGTTTTGGAGGCTGTCCTGGAACTCACTCTGTAGACCAGGCTGGCTTTGAACTCACAGAGATCTGCCTGCCTCTGCTTCCCCAGCGCTGGGATTAAAGGCATGAGCCACCAACGCCTAGCATGAATGTGCTTTTTTATGGTGTGCAGAATAGCTGTGAAGGATTTGAGGTGTGTTTTGTGGTACATCATGTTACCTTTTTCCTACCTGGACGAGGTTAAATCCATTCATTACTACTGAAATGAGTGCTGTCATGGACATAGGGGAGATTTTATGGATCAGCATCAGACAGGCATCCCTAAGCTGACTCTGTGCAGTGGTTGTGGAGATCCTCTAGGGGCGACTGTCCTCAGGTAGAACCTAAAAGATGAATTCATCTTTAGATTCATAGGAAGTTCAAAGCCAGCCTGTGTAACATGAAATCTGTCTAAAGGAAATAATAGTAAAATGTAGGACTGGACCGCGCAGTGGTGGCGCACACCTTTAATCCCAGCACTCGGGAGGCAGAGGCAGATGGATCTCTGTGAGTTCGAGGCCAGCCTGGTCTACAGAGCGAGTTCCAGGACAGCCTCCAAAGCCACTAAGAAACCCTGTCACTAAAAAACAAAAAAAAGTGTATCTCAGTGGTGTGGTGTGTGAGGCCCTGGGTACAACCACAAAACAAACAGACGAAAACATCTAAAACGTCCCTTCTGAGAGATAGTTGTGTACCCCTGCCCAGGAACCCAGAAGCTCCATGTCGTGAGCTTCTATTACTTGCGATGCTTTCATTGTTCAGACATGTCAAGTGCTCTCCCCAAATGGACTTATGCCAGGAAGGTAGGTCTCAGGTGGGTGAAATGTGGCTGATTAGCAGGCATAGTGGGATAGGTAATAGTTTTATACCAATTAGTTTTCTTTTCTTACAGTGTTGGGGTAGAACCTGAGGAGACACATCTGCTGGGCAAGCACCCCACCACTGAACTACATCCCTATCCCCTTTGCAGCCATTAAGTTGAGTATCAGGAAGGCTTTTTTTTTTTTTAAGACAAGGTTTCACTGTAGCCCTGGCTGGTCTTGAATTCAATATGTAGACCAGGTGCTAGCCTCAAACTAAGCAGATGAGCCTGCCTCTGCCTCCTGAGTGCCGGGATAAAAGGCATGGGCCAGCATGCAAGCTCAGAAAAAAGTTCTCATTGGTATTGCACTGCTGTAGGAGAAACTGAGCGCTAGGAGGGGAAGAGTAGCTCAGTGGTGATGGAAGGCAGAGCTGGGAGGTGGACATCGGGGCCAAGCCTGGTCCCGGTCTTCAGCAGACTCTCTCCCGCGTAGGTAATGTGAAGCACCTGGCTCTCTTCCTCCACGAGGCTGTGCTGGTGCAGTATGTGGACACACTGAAGCTCGCCGTGCCCTCTCTCATCTATACCTTGCAGAATAACCTCCAGTATGTTGCCATCTCCAACCTGCCAGCCGCCACTTTCCAGGTGAGCCCCCAGCCCAGCCCAGCTCCAGGGGAACTAAGAAAGGGACATGTAGATGGAAGGAGGGAGGTCGTCTGCAGAGAGCAAGAACTCTGTCACTTTCCAAATGTTCTTGGAACCCCCTCCACTTTGGCTTTCGTATGTGTCATAATTGGGGATGGGGGGATGCTGGCATAACTGAAACCATAGTTGGGGCCAGACATGGTGGCATGTACCTGCAAACCCAGCACTCAGGAGGCTGAAGCAGGAGCATTTGGGGTGGTACTCGCCTTTAATCCCAGAGGTTGGGAGGCAGAGGCAGTCGGATCTCTGTGAGTTCGAGGCCAGCCTGGTCTACAGCGTGAGTTCCAGGTCAGGCTCCAAAACAATACAGAGAAACTCTGTCTCAAAAAAACAAAACAAAAAAAAAGAAGCTATTTCTTGGATCTTGAGAGATGGCTCAACAATTAAGAGCTCTGGCTGTTCTACAGGACTCAGGTTTGATTCCCAGCACCCACATGGCAACTCACAACTGTTTGTTGCTCCATTTTCAGAGGATCTGATACCCTCTTCACCTCCAAAGGTACTAGCCATGCATGTGATGCACAGATATTCATGCAGGCAACACATCTGTACACAGAAACTATTTTTTTAAAGAAAGAAACCCTAGGGCCGGGCGTTGGTGGCGCACGCCTTTAATCCCAGCACTCGGGAGGCAGAGGCAGGTGGATCTCTATGAGTTCGGAGACCAGCCTGGACTACCAAGCGAGTTCCAGGACAGCCTCCAAAGCCACAGAGAAACCCTGTCTCGAAAAACCAAAAAAAAAGAAAAGAAAAAAAGAAAAAAGAAAAAAAGAAAGAAATCCTATCAAAAAGAAAAGACATACCGGGAGAATCCTTGAGTGCTTATTGATAAGTCTGTGGTCTTTGTGTATAGTCTTGTTTCCACAAGGTTGATTAAAGAGCCTAGATACTACAGCAAGGTTGCCTGGGTGCAAATCCCAGTGCTGCTGCTTCCTAGCTATGCGATTGGGGGTGGTGTCAGTCACTTACCTTTCTCTGCCTTTATTTCTTTATTTGCCCATCCTTTATTATTTCATGTAGCCCATTAACTTGTTATGTAACATGATGCGCTGTGGTCCCCTGCCTCAACCACTCAAGTGTTGGGATTATTGGTGTGTGCCACCATGCCCTGTACTGGAGACAGAACCCAGCACTTTGTGCCTGCTAAGCAAAACTACCTGCTAAGCTATAGCGTCAGCTTTTCTTTTCTGTTTGGTTTTTGAGACAGGGTCAGTCTGGCCTTGAATTCCTGGTTCTTATTCCAACTCCTAAGTATTCTAGTTTCAGTCATGGGCCACCATGCTTATCTTTCTCTGAATTGCAGATTATAGTAGTGTTCAGTTCCAAGGTAGTTGTTAAGATTAAATGCACTATTTCTGATATAGTCCCCAGACCCACTCTGGACACACAGTAATTACAAATATCTCCTGACTTGGTTGTGGTTGATGCGTCTGTATGAAGACTTCCCTCATCAGAAAGCTTTCTCTTTATTCATTACCTACTTGGAGGTGTTTTACATACATCAGTGATGGCAGGCCTCAGAAAGGACAAGTGATTTGTCCCTATTGCATAGCTAGGAAAATTGGATTGGGTGGTAGGTTTGGGGTGTGGCTTGGAGCATCTTGACACAGCTACCTTTTTGTAACTCACTGGGAGGTTCTTTGTGAGATGATTTCTAGCCCAGACTGGCCTCTGACTTTACATAGCTGAGAATGACCTTGAATTTCTGATCCTCCTGCCTCCATTATCCAAGGGCTGGGATTAAGTCTGTGTATGCTAGTATGCTGTATATGTAATCTGTATATGTGAGCTCTTTACCAATTAAACTACATCTCTAGCCATCCGGGAGGGTCTTTGGGAACTAGTTAGCCACAAGTTAGTGAGTATTCAGTGGCGGCTTAATTTTATTGTCGTGTACCCCCACCTTCTCCTTTCATTGCACTTTCTGGGAGTCGGGGCCAGCCCTCAGTGCCTTCCGTGTGGAACTTGCAGGTGACCTATCAGCTCAAGATCCTGACTACAGCGTTGTTCTCCGTGCTCATGTTGAACCGCAGCCTCTCACGCCTGCAGTGGGCCTCCCTGTTGCTGCTCTTCACCGGTGTGGCGATTGTCCAGGCACAGCAGGCTGGTGGCGGTGGCCCACGGCCACTAGATCAGAATCCCGGGGCAGGACTAGCAGCTGTGGTGGCCTCCTGTCTCTCTTCAGGATTCGCAGGGGTATACTTTGAGAAGATCCTCAAAGGCAGCTCAGGTTCCGTGTGGCTGCGGAACCTACAGCTAGGCCTCTTTGGCACAGCGCTGGGCCTGGTGGGGCTCTGGTGGGCTGAGGGCACTGCTGTGGCCCGTCGAGGCTTCTTCTTTGGGTACACACCTGCTGTGTGGGGTGTGGTACTAAACCAAGCCTTTGGCGGGCTATTGGTGGCCGTTGTTGTCAAGTATGCTGACAACATCCTCAAGGGCTTTGCCACCTCCCTGTCGATTGTGCTGTCCACTGTTGCCTCCATTCGCCTCTTTGGCTTCCACCTGGACCCATTATTTGCCCTGGGCGCTGGGCTCGTCATTGGTGCCGTCTACCTCTACAGCCTTCCCCGAGGTGCAGTCCAAGCCATAACTTCTGCTTCTGCCTCTGCCTCCGGGCCCTGCATTCACCAGCAGCCTCCTGGGCAGCCACCACCACCGCAGCTGTCTTCTCGAGGAGACCTCATCACGGAGCCCTTCCTGCCAAAGTCAGTGCTGGTGAAGTGAGAGCTGGTGGTGGTTGGGAGAGCTGGGGCGGGGGGTGGGGGTTGGGTTTGAGGGGGTTGAGCTTCTGATGGTCCAGAGTTGTTGCCAGGCCTGACTTGTGGGGTTGGAGGGCTTTTTTTTTTCTCCCACACTTCTAGAGGGATATGGAAGTAGGGCTGAATGTCACATGAACCCTTCCTGGTAGATGGACTCCCCTCTCCTGAAGGAGCTGCTTCCTTTGCCCCAGGCTATCCTCTTTGGGAACAGGGTTGGGGTACCGCTATTCCCGGCTTTCCCTCGTGACCCTCTGCTGGAAATGTCCTGTCTCTCATGCCTGGGACAGTTCATCCCAGCCATCCTACAGACTGGACAAAAGCCCAGCAGTTCTTCAGTAACGACTAATGACTACTCGTGGGGTTCCATTTCCTATTGTATGAGGCCTTCTCTCGTGCACCATTACCCTGGATCATGTCAACAGCTTGGGCTCTGCTGTGGCTTTGGGGCAGTTTCCCTGGTACAGAGACCCTTGAAGATCGGCCTTTTGTAAGTGCCTGGAGTGAGGACAGAGGCACAAGCTGAGAATTGGGCAGCAGTTCATCTTGGGGAAGGTGCAATAAGCACCGTTCACTTTTTAATAGTTGGGGCATTTGTGATAATCAGATTAATGATCCAGAGTGTTGGGAAAATGGGAAGGGGAGATCTTTGAAGTGACTGAATCTTGTGTAATTGAAGAGACAGAAATGAAGGATTATGTTCTGGGACATCCAGAGAGGAAAAATAAAGCTGCCAATGCACTTTCACAGCCCCATTGGCTGTTTAAACACCCTTACTTCATGGCGGGTATCAGAATTGATGAATTGTGGAACCTGCACCCCTGCGCTCCCCAAAGCTTACTAACTCCTTAACTGTATCCAAGATGTGTGTGTGTGTGTGTGTGTGTGTGTGTATGCGTGTGTATGTGTGTGTGCGCGCACACATAAATACACGCATGGAAGGTGCCTGGGCTGTCTTTGCTATATGTAAATAGGACCATTGGATCTTTATTTTTGATTAATTTGTTCTGATTTGGGGGGGGTGTTGTTTTCTAAGGAACTGTAATGAACATGTCAGGATACCCAATGCCAAATAAAGATGTTGTATTTATTTAGTCCATGTGTAGCTTTCTGACCCAGGGGCCCGCTCTCTCCACATAAGCATCATTCACTATTAACCCCAGGATTCCTAGCTTACTACTACCACCGTCGCCTGCCAGCTCAGCCCAGCTTTCTGTGTTTCTCTTTCCTTCCCATTTCCACCACAGGTTGCTCACCAAGGTGAAGGGTTCGTAGCTGCTGGAATTGAAGACGCTGGCCTGCCTTCGCTCTCCCCCTCTTGCCCTGGCCCAGCTGGGACTAAACTCTTATCAGTATTAGGGGTAGGGTGAGGGAGACATGGGAACTCCCTGTCCCCACCCACCCTGCCCCGCATAGGGCTGCCATGACTAACCTCTGTTACTGGGCCCACCTGAACTCCTGCTACCTTTGCAGTATTATTTCTTAGGTGAGTGTCTGCAAATAAAATGTATTTTGCATCTTGTCAACTGGATTGGAAAGCCTGAGAGGATGAAGAAGCAAGCACTTGACGCCTCATGGACATGATGCCCACACACAACAAAGCTTTTATTAAAAACAATAAGGAGACCAGGAGTGTAGCTCATTTGTGAAATAATTATTCAGCATACGCAAAGCTCTGGGTCCTATCGTCAGAATCACAAAGAAGAAAGACAGAAAGGCAAGGTACCAAAGCTGCAGGCAAGAGAGCTCAGTCCTGCTGTTTGGTTCGGGAGGCCTCAGCATTGGCGCGGAGCACAGCCCCCGGGGAGGGGTATGGGCGCTGCTGGAAGAGAGGCCCAGCTGCTGTGGTGTCAGCGCCTGTCTTGGCCTCGTTCCTCTTGGGTAGTCCTGTTGACCATGTGCCCCTGGGGACAGCAGACAATCAGAGGACACCCACACCCAGCTGCCCAACATTAACAAATGGGAAGAGATACAAGAGAGGGGACCGTTCACAGGTATAGCGACAACCATGAAACGGAATTGGCAGGGGGTTTCACTTACCGGGGTGCATCGGAGTATGAGCTGGGGTCCATAGGGTCTAATTCTTCATCTTTCCGGCTCGCCGCTACAGACATGAGCAGCTAGTCAAATTCTTCACTTGAGACCCAAGGAGGCCCTCCCTGATCACTGAGCCTCTCTCCCAGGAAAAAGTGCCAGTGGCTACCATGGCCCACAGCACCATTGTCTAGCTCAGGTCTAGGCATGCTGTTCCTCACATTCTGTGCCCTGGTACCTCACTTGACTCATCCATGACCCGGCCTGATCTACTTACCCTTTTTTAAAAAAAATTTATTTATGACAGATGCAGTTTGTCTACATGCCACAAGAGGGCACCAGATTGAATTGTAGATGGTTGCGAGCCACCATGTGGTTGCTGGGAATTGAACTTAGGACCTCTGGAAGAGCAGTCAGTGCTCTTAACCTCTGAGCCATCTCTCCAGCCCCCCTACTTACCCTTCTTGCTCTTGGGGTAAGGAGCCAGCTCCTCTCTGCGATGGTGGCGCCGGTCTTTACCATCTTCCCGGTCTGCCTTGTCATACCCACGGTCCCGATCTCGTTCCCTGTCCCGATCTCTCTCTCTGTCTACCTTGTCATAGCCCCGCTCTCGATCCCGGTCAGATTTATCATGGCTTCTGTCTGCCTTGTCATGGCCCCTATCTGGCTTCTCGTGATTTCGGTCTGGCTTCTCGTGATTTCGGTCTGGCTTCTCGTGATTTCGGTCCACTTTCTCATGATTCCGGTCCAACTTGTCCTCAGCATCTGCGGTAACACAAAGTCCTGAAGCCCGTCTCTTATACATATGGTCTCCTCAGCCCCTCTCTGAGACTGCAAGAGTTACTGAGACACCCCGGCATGCCAACTCACCTGCGTTACTGTTTCTGAGTTTCTTGGCAGATTTGGAAACGACAAAGTTGGGGTCATGTGGTGAGAGCCATGACACGAGGTCTGTGTCCACATTCCAGTAGTAAGGGAGCCCACTGTGGACAGTGAGAGGGAAGCAAGTCTCAGCACAGACGTCTCTCATACCAACCGTCTCCCCAACCTCTCTTTACATCTGCTCCATGGTTCCATATGCAGAGCTCCTCCCTCATCAACCCCACATAAGGGATTAACATGGGCAGGGAAAAGCCAGCCATCCCTCCTGCCTCGTGTTGGTAGGCTCACCAAGAAGGGTCAAACACCTTGTACCAGCTGGGTGGCAGACCCTCTATCCGGGTGGCCTCATAGTCAACAGGGTCATCATCATAGTCCTCCGCAATGATCTCTTCCTCCGGCTCTGCAAGAACAGAGAAACAGAGAAGCACTTTAAGAACCTGGGATTTATCTGTAATGAGATCTGGCGCCCTCTTCTGGCATGCAGGCATACATGCCGACAGAACACTATATATGTAATAAATCTTTAAAAAAAAAAAAAAGAACCTGGGATTTGCCGGGTGGTGGCGGCGGCACACGCACGCCTTTAGTCCCAGCACTCGACAGGCAGAGGCAGACGGATCTCTGTAAGTTCAAGACCAGCTTGGTCTACAAGAGCTAGTTTCCAGGACAGCCTCCAAAGCCACAGAGAAAGCCTGTCTCAAACAAAACAAAAAGAACCTGGGCCTGGGGTTCTCTTTCTACACTCACATCTACACCACTCACTGTATGTGGAAGACACAGAGATGTGTCTTGGGGATTGAAAGAGAATCTTCGCCGGGCGTTGGTGGCGCACGCCTTTAATCCCAGCACTCGGGAGGCAGAGGCAGGTGGATCTGTGAGTTCGAGGCCAGCCTGGTCTACAGAGTGAGCTCCAGGACAGCCTCCAAAGCTATACAGAGAAACTCTGTCTCGAAACACCAAAAAAAAAAAAAAAAAAGAAAGAGAATCCTCAAAAATTAACCAACTCCAGAGTTCAGATACCATCTGGCCCTGTATCAGCAGGGGGTTTGCCTAAAAATCATGGTTCATCTATTCACCTTTTTTTTAAAGCTTTCTTTTTATATAATTTATTTTTATTTTATGTTCATCGATGTTTTGCCTGCATAAGTCTGTGTGAGGATGCCAGACCCCCTGGAACTGGAGTTACAGACAGTTGTGAGCTGCCATGTGGGTGCTGGGAATTGAACTCCGGTCCTCTGGAAGAGCAGCCAGTGCTCTTAACCACTGAGCCATCGCTCCAGCCCCCTCTATTCACCTTCTTAACTGTGATTGGTTTCTGAGTCGTTTGCAGCAAGGAATTATTCCAAACATTGTTCTGAATCAACACCTAAGGGCTACATAGTAACCCTGCAGCAAGGTGTCTGGTTACAGTAGAATAAAAAAAAAGTTTCTATTATCAGCCCAATGCCTGGCAGGCAGTAGACCGACCCCTAACAAATTTCAGCTGTGGGTATAATTAAAAATAAAACACAAGCCGGGTGTTGGTGGCGCACGCCTTTAATCCCAGCACTCCGGGGGAGGCAGAGGCAGGCAGATCTCTGTAAGTATGAGACCAGCCTGGTCTATCAAGTGAGTTCCAGGACAGCCTCCAAAGCCACAGAGAAACCCTGTCTCAAAAAACCAAAAAAAAAAAAAAAAAAGAAAAGAAAAGAAAAAGAAAAACATGCCACACCAATTGGCAGTGGCACACACCTTTAATCCCAGCATTTGGGAGGCAGAAGCAGGTGGATCTCTGTGAGTGAGTTCAAGACCAGCCTGGTCTACAAAGCAAGTTCTAGGACAGCCTCAAAGCCACAGAGAAACTGTCTCAAAACAAAACAAAAAAGCACAAAAAGTGACACCAAAAGAATTGTCAAGTATGATCGACCATATTGCTATTGCTAATAAAATATATACTATTGGCAGTGGGTTCAATACTCTAAAGACTTAAACACTAATGATATGGGGTTTGCCTGAAACCCTGGATCCATACCCTAGCACCACCACCAAAAAAAAAAGAATGATCATTACTAGCACTATTAGGCACAAAGTCTATGGCTGGCCCAAAGGAGTCTATAATAGATGTCAGTTATCCATACAATAATTTGATGGACTTTCCAGTGCCTAACATACAGTATAGGTCAAAACGCATGGTAGATTTTATTATTATTATTATTATTGGCAATAATGTGTAATTAGCAGCTAATAATACAGTAAACCTAATTGATAGATGATCATTTTAGACTATTAACATAACGTGTGCCAGGCACTTAGGTAGACTCAAATAAACATTAACAGGTTATCATGCCCATTAACACAGTATGTGTTGGGTAAAACTACAAGTCATCAACACCTTGCTACTGTATTTGAAACAGGAGACTGCAGAATATTTCATTCTTATTAAATAAATAAATTCTGGCCTACTTAGCATTAGGGAAGCAGAGACAGGCAGATCTTTGGGAATACAAAGCCAGCCTGATCTACAGAATGAGTTCCTGGCCTGCCAGAAATACAGAGTGGGACCATGCAGTAAACAATTAATTAAATACCAAAAGTAGTCACCCCCTTTGGATTTATTTTCTAGTGTGTGTGCTTGAAAGAAAAATATCTGAAATTCACTACGTAAACCAGGCTATCATCTGGGATCCTTTTTGCCTGTCTCTGCAGTACTGGGATTATAGATGCATGGCATTATACCTAGCTTTTTTTTTCTCAAGACAGGGTTTCTCTGTGTAACAACCCTGGATGTCCTGGAAAGCACACACTCTCTCCCTCTCTTTGTTTTTTGGAGGCTGTCCTGGAACTCTGAAAACCAGGCTGGTCTCGAATCCGCAGAGATCCACCTGCCTCCACCTCCAGAGTGCTGGGATTAAAGGCGTGCGCCACCAACGCCTGGCTAGCTCTATTTTTTGAAGACTGGGTCTCGGCCAAGTTGCCACAGCTGGCCTCGATCTCCTGGGCTCAAGCCATCTTCGTATCTCGTCCTCCTAAGTAGGTGATCCTATGGGTACTTGCCACCATGCCCACTTGATTCATGAATTAAATTAAACTCTATTCTCCAGCCTTACACGTCACACAGTACTTACCAATCAGTAGTAACGGGTATCAGGAAAGTATATTGGAATTGAGATGCCTTCCAGGCCATACAAAGTATCAAGTATCAACCATAAAGCCTATCAAGGAGATTTACCTCAATAGTACAGCACATCCAAGGGCTTGGATTTGAACCCAGCAACGCAAAGGGGGAAAGGATGTGCGCTTTGGGGTTGAGGATGATGGTAGAACGCCTGCTCGGCATGCACCAGGGTTCGACGGGGCGGGAAGGGGGGCAGAGGAGGGAGAGATAAGAGAAGAGAGTAACACTATCTGCTATCAGCTTTCTCACCGGGCTCCAGATGTTTGAGGATGCCCCTCTTCGCCAAGCGGGTCTGCAATGCAACAGGGAGCGGCATTGTGGGTTGCTGACCAGGCCTAGGAACCGACAGACAGCAGTGAATGGCAGATCCAATAAACATTTCAATCAGGCTATCCAATAACCATGCACCACACTACAGCTTGTGCTCATTTGACCCCCACCTACCTAACTGCACCAGCAGCTGGAAGGACAGAACAAAGATGCAAGAGGTACGAGGCAGTCTGATGAGGACTAGTACCGCCAGAACTCAACTGATCAGGGCACTGGGGACCGGATACACCGAAGACCCAGTTCCTCTCCAGGCCAAGACTCCACCCATCGCCGGAGGGACCAAGTGGATCTCACCCGCAACCCAGAAATGGGATCACCCAACGTTCCTCTAAGTCAGCACTGTGGGAGGAACCAAGGTGCTGGGACGGGGGTGCAAAAATGTCAACACCATCTCCAGCTTTATAAGAAAGCTTCCACCTCGGCGTTAGCAGTACAGCTATGCGGATAATCAAAAAGTCTCTCACGCTGCCCTCTTTGTCACTATGCTTACCAATATCGAAGGGTTCTTCCTTTAAAGCACAAAGCGCTCCCCAGTCTCCCCAGATGCAGTTAACTGGTCGACTCCGGGGCTTACAGAGAACGGATATGGCCAGCCTGCCTAGCCAATAAGAGTGCGCCTTTGGCCTTACGTAAGCGAGGAAAACCAATTGTTTCCTTGGCCTACGTACGACGCCTCCGCTCTTGTGGGCGTTTCTGGGGGGGGAGTGGCTCGCCTGTGCGACCGTCTGCTCCAGGCCAGACGCTGGCGCCATGGAGGAGTACGCTCGCGAACCTTGGTACGGCGATGGGCACAGGCTTCGGGAGAGTCCCTGCGACGCCCAGGCCAACCACGGGAGGCGGGCGGGGAAGGCAGCGGCTACACTGTCAAGTCCCTGACGCGGGAGGCTTAGAAACTTCACTGCCTCAGCGCGTCCGGCATGGCTCCTCCTACTCGGACGTTGCTAAAAACCGCCACCGTGGAGTGTCCCTGTAGGTGCCGTGTGGGACACACCACCTCACTGTTCCCCTGACTGTTCTCCTAGAGCCTTTTAGTGAGCCAAAAGAGAGACGCTGGGCAAATCCATTACAGCAGCGGGGGAGGAGAGGCGTGGAGCCAAAACCCACAGAGTTTCCTCGCGTGGCTTTTCTCAGACTGGTTTTTGACTCCGGTTAGGGCATGTATGAATCCGCTGTGGGCTAAGAGGTGGGGCCTGGAGCTTCCTCACGGTTTTTTATTTTTCCGTTTTAAATTCTAAAATAACACTGTACAGGGGCTTCCTTGGACGTGCTACACACACACACACACACACACACACACACACACACACTTTGGAGGACAGAGTTCTGTTCTGCTTTACTTAAATAACATTAGGTAGTTACCACTGTTGAAACCTGCCAACTCTTTGTACATGTCAGTCCATGTGATTTTTTGACAGCAGCAAAACCGTTGGATTGATGCTCATTTGTAATGGAGAGCACTATTCTTTCATAATAAACCCAGCATTTGGAATGCTATGTAGTGTGACACCTCCCCCATTCTGAAAAAGAAAAAAAATGTGTTTTCCCACTTTTGCGCCACAGATAGATTTACAAACTATTTAGATTTTGTTTGTTTTGAGGCAACATCTCACTGTGTGGCCCTGGCTGGCCTGGAATTCTGACTAGGCTGACCGTAAACGCACAAATCCACCTGTCTCTGCCACCCGAGTGCTGGGATTAAAGGCGTGCTCTGTCACTGCCTGGCAGCACAAGCTTTCTTTTTGGGACAAGGGTCTCCATTTATAGCCCAGGTTGGACTCCAACTTGTGATCCTCTTGCCTCATTGTCCCAAGCATTGTGCTTAAAGGTACGTAGAACCAGACCTGGCTTTCCGTTGAGGCTTTTATGGGTCGTATTAAAAAGTGACAAAACTGCTTGGTGGCAGCGGCGGTGGTGCACGCCTTTAATCCCAGCACTCTGGAGGCAGAGGCAGGCGGATCTCTGTGAGTTCAAGGCCAGCCTGGTCTACAGAGCGAGTGCCAGGAAAGGTTTCAAAGCTACACGGAGAAATCCTGTCTCAAAAAACCAAAACCAAAACAAACAAAAAGACAGAACTGATTTGTTATTATCTGAGGTGTTTCTTACCAGTCATGAGCTTCCTATTTTGGTTCTCCAAGTTCCAAAGCGTCCAGGCTCGGCCGGGCATAGCCTCACATTAATTCTATCTTTTCCTTCCTGCTTGCAGCCCATGGCGAATTGTGGATGATTGCGGCGGAGCTTTCACTATGGGTGTCATCGGTGGTGGAGTCTTCCAGGCTATCAAGGGCTTTCGCAATGCCCCCGTTGTGAGTTGGGCCTTCCCCAGTGGTGTGGGAGTCTGCAGTCTTTCTGACAAAGATTACTGTTCCGAACACACATTCATTCAGTTGCTTGTTCACCTACTATGTGTTGGGCCTGGCTCCTGGGCCTATGATTTGAGTGACTGACTCTGTTCGTCAACTGTCTTGCTGGAGCTCTGTGGAAATGCTGTACTGTCAGAAACAGTCTTAGGAGCTAGAAGTATATGTAGATGTAGTTTTTGTAGGGACTGATCAGCTCTGTTTTGCCAGCTGCCTCCCAAATAACCACTCAGATTTTTTTTTTTTTTTTTTGGTTTTTACGAGACAGGGTTTCTCTATATTGTTTCGGAGGCTATCGGTCCAGCCCGGTCTCGGAACTCACAGAGATCAGCCTGCCTCTGCCTCCCGAGTGCTGGGATTAAAGGCGTGTGCCACCACCGCCTGGCCAGATTTATTATTAATTATAAATGCTTGACCAATAGCTCAGGTGTGTTACTAACTAGCTCTTACAACTTGAATTCATCCATTTCTATTAATCTGTGGCTCATGGTTTTTACCACTCCTGTATGTCCTGCTTCCTCTCAAACTGGCTGGTGACTCCTCTGACTCCACCTTCTTTCCCAGCATTCTTTCCATCCCCAAAATCCTGCCCAGTCATAGTTCAATCAGCTTTTTATTAACAATGAGAGTAATAATATTTATAGTGTACAAAGATTGTTCCAAGCACATATATAGCTCCATGGTAGAGTAGTTGGTTCATTTCTCAGCATCAATAAAAAGAAAAAGGATAGCATCAAATCTTTTTTTTTGTTTTGTTTTTTTGTTTTTTGAGACAGGGTTTCTCTGTATGGCTTTGGAGGCAGTCCTGGAACTAGCTCTTATAGACCAGGCTGGTCTCGAACTCACAGAGATCCACCTGCCTTTGCCTCCCGAGCGCTGGGATTAAAGGCATGTGTCACCAACGCCTGGCCTAGCATCAAATCTTAAATGTGTATGCAATGTATATTTTACTTCGAAACAGACTCTGGGTTAATATCCTCTATATAGAAAAATGACAGTAGTTTGACAGAGAAAACAGCCTTTAAACTGAATGGGGGGGCTTTTAATATAATTCTACCTCTTCCCCTGAGGTTGGAGATCTCATTAGATGTCACTGTTTTAAAGATGAATATGAGCTGGGTAGTGGTGGTACGCGTCTTTAATCCCAGCAGAGGCAGGAGGATCTCTGTGAGTTCGAGGCCAGCCTGGTCTACAGAGCAACACAGAGACCACGCTGGCCTTGAATTCACTCTGAACTCACAGAGATCTTTCTGCCTCTGCCTCCCGAGTGCTGGGATTAAAATCACATGCCACCACCACCAGGCAGAAAGTTATCTCTAACTCCCCATCCATCCAACATTTGTTGATAGCCATCCTGATTGGAGTAAATGAAATCTTAAAGTAGTCTTAATTTGCATTTCCCTAATTGCTAAGGATGTTAATCACTTTTTGAGGTATTTCTTAGCCATTTTTATTTTTTCTTTTGAGAACTCTCTGATCCATACCCCTTCCCCCTTTTTTGAGAGAAGGTCCTGGCTACTGAGAATTTACTATGTAGACCAGGCTGGTCTCAAAGGTAGGGGTGTGTGGGGGGGGCGTGTGTGTCTGTGTATGAGTATAAACATGTGGCAGTCAGAGAAGGACGTATGGGGTCTTCTTTCGCTTTTTGAGACAGGGTCTCTCACAGAACCAGAAGCTCCACTTCCAGCTAGGGTGACTGGCCAGCAAGCTATTGGGATATGCCTGTCTTATGCCCCACTCCCTGTAATGCTGGGGTTATAGGCATAGACAGCCATGCCTGACTTTACATAGGTGCTGAGGAATCAAACTCAGGTCCTCATGCTTACAAAGCCAAGTACTCTTAGCTACTGAGCCTTATCTCCAGCCCCTCACCATAATTGCTTTTTCTTTTCTTTTCTTTTTTTGTTTTTTTCGAGACAGGGCTTCTCTGTGTAGCCCTGACTGTCCTGCAGCTCACTCTGTAGACCAGGCTGGCCTCTGAACTCACAGAGATCCGCCTGTCTCTGCCTCCTAAGGACTGGAATTAAAGGCATGCGCCACCACCGTCCAACATAACTTTGTTATTTTTTTTTATTTTTGCAAAGCCTCATACCTGAAGGTTGTCTTGAACCTTGAAGACAACTGGGCTTAGACTATTGAGACTCCTAAAGATGGACAGGGTTCTTGTTCCTCTATGAAATAGGTGTGAGCCTTTTGGGGATATGTTAGTTACTTTCTGTTGTTAAAATAAAACCTATGACCAATGCAAGTTATAGAAGAAAGACTATGTGGGCTTAGAGCTCCAGAGGGATAAGAGTCCACCGTGATGGGGATGCATGGCAGCAAGGAGCATGGCTGCCTAGGCAAGAAACTAAGAGCTGACATCCTCAGCGGCAATGTGAAGCAGAGAGACTGAACTCAAAATAGGCAAGGCTTTTGAGACAGTTGTTCTCAACCTTGCTAATGCTGTGACCCTTTACTGCAGTTTTCTTGTTGTGAGGCCGCCCAACCATAAAATCCTTTCATTGCTACTTCCTAACTGTCATTTTTGCTAGTTATGAATCATACTGTAAATGTTTTCTGATGGTCTTAGGCAACCTCTGTGAACCCCAGAGGCGTAGCAAGCCCCAGGTTGAGAGCCACTTTTCTTTCGTACATTTTGCTGTCTGAAGCTGTCTTGCTTACTTGCTTACAATCTGCCTCTGCCACTACTGTGTGCACTCACTCCGAGAGAGCAGGGAACTTGTACCTTGTTGTACCCCTGCATATAAGATGAAGCCTGGCACACAGGACCTGATCACTGCCTATTGAATGAATGAGTGAAGAAATTAATAAAGCTTAGCAACCCTGCTCTAAGAAAATCTTTGTTGGATTTATCGCCTGTTCTCCTGGTTCTCTGACTGCTGCTATGCTTCTGAAGCTTTCCCCTGCCTTCCCCTCTCTTTGTTGCCATGCTGGGAGTAGAAGAACCCTGGGCCTTGCTCATTCTAGGCAAGCGCTCTACCACTAAACATCCCAGTGCTCCTTCTTATATAGGCTGGAAACCCTGCCTTGCCAGTGGTCTGACACCTTTCCTTG